TTACTTGATGTGCTGCTCTCTATTTTAAGGAATGTTGTTCTAGGTCAATTCTGTTTCTGAAATGTTGTAGTTGTAGATACATACTAATCAGTCTGTTGAAAGATTACTTTTGTAGTATTGGAATGAAGTGCTCTACAGAAAAATCCCCATATCCAAAGCTCTCCTCCTACCATGCCTCAGACTGTCTGTACGTTCTTAGTCTGTCTCCTTTGCACGAATGTGTAATGAAACCCCAGCCCCCCGGGGCCCTGCTCAGTGCAGGTGATGAATCTGTTGTGGCCTGTGTACTGGAGAGAAGCCTGTGATGGATGGATGTGTTGTAGAGATGGGTTATGGGATGAGAAGAGATGGTTATACCCCTGTAGCTGTAATGCTTGATACTAGCAGATACCAGTCTTTAGGCAAACTTGCTGGTTTATATAGAAAAATACCAGCTGGCTGCCTTATAGCTGTGTTGGTGGAGGCGGTTTGCCAAGGGAGAAAAGGCAGCAAGATGCAAATAACTCCATTAAGCCAGGTGCCAGATACCTCAAATTGGGTGACCAGAAATTACTTGAAATATTTGGTCTTTTGTATTGCAAAGTCCTGAATGAGAGAGGAAGATGATACTTATTTATCTTGTAGGGATATTGTAAAGATTCCTTAGTAAAGTTACAACTACAGGAAAGCCACTGAAGAACTCAATATGGAGCAGGAAATACAGTGCAACTAAATAGGCCTTGCACAAAAGATGGAGAAAATACTGAATAGCTGTTGAAGTGAACATTATCATATATCTTCATTGCAGAATGTATGTCTTGGTGGAAAAATAGCATTTCTGAAAACCATATATAAAGATTGTGCATCTGATCCTGGGCCAGGCACTTTTTTGGGGCTGGCGTTAATTTTTAATCTTGTTTTTTTTAAGGAGGTTTTGTGTCATTTCCTTTGTGTTGCTGTCCATATGGAAATGCCAGGGGCACCTCTAGACCCACAGTGGGTTTTGACTGAGGTGCTCAGGGATCTGAATTTGGGATGCTTTACAGTCTCTGATTTAATTTCATACCGAAGAGGGCTGTATTTTTAATAGTGGCAGGTTCTTTTATCTGTTTCTCATAAAGCCTTTTTTTTATTCCTTCTCCTTTAAACTTCAAGTCCTGACATTACCCTGCCCTTGGTATTCATCTTTCTTTTTTTGGGGGCGGGGGGGGTGTTACACGATATAAACTATAAATTCTCTCCATAGTCTAAATCAGTGTCCCAGGTTATAGCGGGATTCTTCTTTGCTGCCGTGTATCTGAGTAACCGGTGCTATTGCTTTACTTCTTTATTTTATCTTTCTCTTGGTCAGTCTGATTCTGCTGTCCCCTGTAGAAGTTCCTTATTCTCCTGGCCTTCCAGATCAGATATGACTTCCTGAGCTTGTCTATGTTTCTCTTTCTCTCCCCTCATCCATCTTATTCCAGTTTATCTAATCAGTCATTACACACTTTATGTACACCTTAGCTTCCTGTCACACATTTAATTGACAGCCAGCTCTGTGACTTCTTCCATTTTTCATCGTCAAGACCTTTCTTCCCTGCATCTTCTGCTTTTTCGTGACTCAGTTGCCTGGTTCCTGTCCTTATTGAGTTCCATATGGCTCATCTTCCGTGGTAGGCGGAATGGAAGAGTGGAAGGTATGGATTTTTGAGAGTGTGGGGTTTTTTCCTCTTAAAGCAGTGTATGTATACACACATATATACATAAACTATTTTCTGTTTAGCATATTTTCCTAGTTTCAGCTGTAACAGTTATTTTTCTCCTTCCTAGTAGCTGATGCAGTGCTGTGTTTTTGACTTCAGTCTGGTAGCACACCGATGTTTTAATTGTTGCTCAGTAGCACTTACCTTGACGAAGGACTTTTCGGTCTCATGCTCTGCCAGTAAGGAGGGGCACAAGAAGCTGTGAGGAAGCAGAGACAGGACACCTGACCCAAACTAGCCAAAGGGGTATTCCACAGCACATCATGCCCAGTATAGAAGCTTGGTGGAGTCACCTAGAAGGGACTGATTGCTGCTTGGATCAGGCTGGGTAGTGGTTGGTGGGTGGTAAGAAATTGTATTGTGCATCGCTTGTGTTTTTTGTTGGATTTTCCCCCCCCCTTCCCTTATCATTATTAGTAGTAGTTTTGCATTATACTTTAGTTATTGGACTGTTCTTATCTCAACCTGTGGGGTTTACATTCTTTCCATTCTCCTCCCCATACAGCCCAGTCCACTAGACCAGGTTGCTCCAAGCTTCATCCAACCTGGCCTTGAACGCTGCTTCCCAAGATCTTTTGCCTTGTCTAAAACTGCTGATGAAAGTTACACGAGGACTCTTCTCAGAATACTGGCATTACTTGCAATTGCCACATGTAGTTAGTCTGCTGAGAAAAGGGGGACAATTTCTGTTGCTGAGTGAAGCACATGGGGTGGGGGTTTATTGAGTTTCTGTGTTGTTGTTTTCCATCCAATCAACATGGTGATAATGGAAGAACCTCTCTTGCATGGACAGGCTTTTCACTCCAGCCTGGTTCTAGCCTGATTTTATTTAAGTAGTAGTGTTTATGTATTGGCTGAAATATCACTTAACACAGATATAAGGAGCTGGTTGCAATATGAGGAGTGAGTAGTTAGAGATTATAGGGCGAAGACCAGGCTTCCCTGTGTGTCAGCTGTATTTCAGCATCTCCTGTACTTCAGGGTTAGTACCTTGCTCAGACACAAACCCCAGTAAATTGTATGCCTCAGCATTCAGAGGCATGGTACCTGAGAGAGAATTACTGTATTTTTACTCTCTGGTGAATTAGAATAATGATGGCCTTTTTTTGGTAACTGCTGAGAACATTCTGTTCTGCTGAATTTCACTCAGCCACAGCTTGGATTTTTGAGTGACTGAAAATACATTTATAAAAATGAAATGCAGTGATTTATATTAAATGTCAGGCTGCATAAGCATAGCCTTGTGCGTGTTCAGTTGGGTTTGTATGTTCAGCTGGCTGTATAGGTTAGTACCTGGTAGTACTTGTGTCTACAAACAGCATCTACTCTGTTACAACAGACATTTTAAGAATGTTGAAAATATTGTACTGCGTTTATGTAATGAATTGGGGTTTTAGACCTTAGATTAAGACATAATTCAGATATACTGTAACTCTTTGATTTATTTTGTTTTCAAATTTTACTACTGTGATTCTGTTAAACTCTCCTAATGCTTCTTTGGTTTTTATGCAGATGGTTAAGAAGAGGCACCATTTTGGCAAGTTGCTGTGTATTTATGGATACAAAAGAGCTAATAGTTTCCATTTGTCTCTCTTTGTGCCATTTATCACTATAATGTTACTTTCCAGTTTATTAACTCTGCAAGATGTTGGATGAGATGGATGTTTCTAATTTTAAGATTTTCAAAGCTGCCATACACTGGCTCCAGTCTAGTTTTTCACATCTGGTTAAAGTACATTAAAGTGATCTGGTAGACATTGAGGGCAGGTCTTGAGTTTGTGTAACTTGTACGTTGGGCTTGAGCCTATGGTGGTGAAGCTTAGAGAGGTTTTGGCATTTGTACTAGCAAAAATAGATCTTGGATATCTTTCTTGTTGATGTTGAAGTCATTCTCCTGAATTCTGACAACTCTCTCCCTGCTTTTAGTCCTAAAGACTCGATTGAGGTTCTTCAACCTTAGTTGGTAACATTGTTTTGGCAGTGGCTGCAGTTTGAAGAGCTAGTTTTGTAACTGCTTCTGGGAATCTATTTAGCAAAGGGAGATCTTTGTCATGAAGATTAGTGACTTTTTCAGAGCTACTTCTTTAGGCTAATTTGTACCTCTGTCACCTGAGGGCAGCCCTGAACAGTGCATGTATCCTGAACTCTGTAAACTAAGGTCTTAGGACTTGCTGCAACTTTCAGTGCCTGCCCTGTACCTTCTGGAGGCAGCTTTTAACTCCTCTGCTACAAAGTTGTGTCTATGTAACAATTTGTCTTGCTGTGTTTTAGTTTATATGTCTGATTAAAGCAAAATTTGCACCATTTTAGGGATATATGGACTTTGAAACCTATTTTGGACCTTTACCAGGTTGATTTCTGCCTCTGATTTGGAGGGTTTGGTTTCAGGAAAGGAGGGTTAGGGGTTCACAGTTGTGTCCTACAATTCTCTCCTATTGTGCAGAAAGTAGATATTTCTGGGTTATTTTCAAGTAGCTCGGAACCTTTGTGTTCTCTTTTGGATTTTCCATGTTTGGGGATGTCTTACACAGCTCTTCTGACAAGACACTTGTTTTGAGCTGTGAAGTAGGTACAAACTTGTCTCTTGTAAGGAACAGGCCTCTGTCTTGTAAAGAGGTTTCTACAGAGCTGCTTGAACTTCTTTGTGTTTAGTTCTGTTACTGCTGAATGACAGACATGTGCTACATCCCTTCAGAATGAACTTGGCAGTTTCTCTTGTGTGAGAAGCAGCATGAAAAAGTTTGGTCTATGAGCTTTTATGAAAATGTGTTGATAAGTAAAATCATAGTGGTTTTTAAATCATTGCCCTCTTTGTTTCATCATTTACCTTAATGAATAATTTGAGGCTTAAAGCAGAGTGTAAACCCACTGGTTTTGTTCAGTGGTATAGATAGTGTAAGTTGGTTTACCTTTCTTGAGCAAAGTTTTCCTTTGTCTCCTTCCCTTCTCACAGACAGGTCATGAAAACTAATTTGCGTTTAGGTGACCAGTCACAGATGCATTGTGCACAGTATTAATGTCCAGTTACAAGTGAGGCAGTGAAAATGTTCCTGCAATTTTTCAGTGAGTTGGCTTCATGCAGTGTAATTTTATATCTGTGGTCAATCAAAATGATGCTTGGTACAAAACCTGAAGTTGTATTCTTGCATAGAGAAGTGCTCCGTGGTCCTTTGTGACTTCCTGGATTGGTCAAAGTGGGGAGACAGTAGAGGTTACAAGCTTCATACTGTCAGATTTGCTTCCACCTCAGTAACTGGTTTCCTTCTCTTGCAGTGATTCTCCTTTGCCTGTGTCATCACGTGTGTGTTTTGTAAAGTTCCATGACCCGGACTCGGCAGTTGTGGCGCAGCACCTGACAAACACTGTATTCGTTGACAGAGCCTTGATAGTCGTACCATATGCAGAAGGTTTGTGACTTGTTTAATGGCCTATGAAGCCCCTGTATGGGGGCATTTTATTCCAGTATAGTTCACAAAAATGAGGATTAGTAAAATGCAAAACATAAAAGATAATTAATGTTTGAAACCCTTGGTATATTGCCATTGGCCCATGGATTAAATAGTTGTTTTTAATTTAATGACACTGAATGAAAGTGGAAAGTTTAACTCTGAACTGCTTTTGTGTGTCTTTAAGTTTAGAACGTGAACGTTTTAGGCAGAATTTTTTGCAAATTTTGCTCTTTATCAGTCTCAATGAGACATTTCCCTAAACAGACTTTCACAAACAGGTCCCTGTTATAAGGAAATTTTGCCTTAATAATTATTTGCCACTTTCACATAGATATAAATCTCTTCATGAGAATGGCTTCTCCCTCCATGAGAGTGCATGGGAGAGTAGAGCAATGTTTCTCTGAGATACTCTGCCACTGCATTTATTTGGGAACTTCCCTGAAAAGGCACTCACTCTCCTTATAAGTCCAGTATACCAAGGGTTTGAATAATTATGGTGTAATTTGAAATTAGATCTCCAAGAAGTGCCAAATGGGCACTGGGACTAGTTTTTTTATTCCAAGTTTTCTTGTTCATCCTTGATATATTTTATAGAATTTCACTAAATAATAAACTCTTCTCTCTGTTATTTGTGTGTGTGATTTTTGTAGTGGAGAAGGCAAATGCAAAGCCCTTCCAGATGACTGAAAAACAGTGGGTCCTCTGCAGCTACAGGGGATTCTAGACATTAACTAAAGGCCAGCAAGCACTCAAGTCCCCAAGTGTTTTCCTGGTGTAACCACTTGTTAACTACATTTTCTCTTCTTCTTTTTATTTTTACGTTTTAGGGTGTTACAGTAATTTGAAAGGCAATGAGCAGGGTTTTTGGAACTTACCTTAAAAACAAAGTGCTGAGAAGACACCTCTTCTTGCAGAAGTCTTATTAAACTCTTCTAGACTTGCTTTAGAAGTAACTGATTTCCATTGTACTGTTTCTTGATTTACTTCTGAATTAATGGATTTTCCCTGATTGCTTGAGTTAAATAAAATCTTCTGTAGATTAAATTGTGCTACAGCAACAAATCTGGTACATGGCCTGGGTTCAGACCTATGCTCAAAGCATTGTAATGCTGTAGGGTGTCTTTTGAGGCCTGGGGAGCTGTTTTATCTTTGTAATTCCTTAAACTTAAATGTTATGGAAACTTAATTTATGTAACATAGGACTCTGCAGCATGACCTTTGGTTGAGACATGCTGCTTTTTGAGAGCACAGAACACGTTCTGAAATTACCATTGAGTTTCTGCTTTTGCTAGTTTAGGTGTAATAATGTAGTTGAAAGGCATCTTGTCCTTGTCTTTGTATTAAAACATGATATAGCAACAGTCCATTTGAGTCAGAACTGAAACAATCACCAAGGCCCGTGGTGCAGAACATTAGTGTTTTAACTTGACCAATAAGGATAAAACCAGTCTGACTTTGTCCATCGTGCTCGATGGCGTGTAAATCTGGCACATAGAGAAATCTGCCCAGTACTTTTGGTTCAGATTGCGTAAAGAAAATAAAGTAATGAACAAATAGAATATTTAAACGGGCCTGTTTAAATCCAGGAGCTCCTCGTGGCCTATTTCCTCTGGTGCTCTAGTGGTGCAGAATGATTTGATGTATCACAAGAGATACACTCAGCCAATAAAGTTATACCCCTTGGTTTTGTGACCATATGCTCCTGTCCATGTATTGGAGTATAGTTTTCCCTGCCAATGCAAATTGCCAGAGTCCCAATTCGACCAGCTACTTAAGCACAATACAGCAAGATTCTTAACACCATGGTGAAATTGCTCATGTGCTTAAAGCCAGGCATATGCTTAACTACTGTGCTGAACTGGGCCCTTTGATCTTCTATTTTCTGTTGTGATAATTCTGTATGAATATTGCCTGTCACTAAAGTAAATGTTTATTATCTGTTTAGCGCAATAATTATCCCCTATACCACAAGCGCACTCCAGTTTTAGCATACACAGTTTGGTGTTGGCTGTTGCTTTGTGTTATAGAACTATACACAAAGTCTACGGTAAGGTTTAGTATTTGTCATTTTCACTGTGCTATTCCTACGTTTGGAAGGAACTCTTTAAGATTAAAGGTGGCTGGGGGGGATATTTAGGTTCTTTGGTTAATGTTTGTTTCTTTTGTCTGTTTCTTTTTCTTTCATTTCTACACATTCATGCAGTATTTCATGGTTCTAACAAAGCAGCAGTATAAAAAGCTCTTGAAGCATGAAAATTAACTGGTGAGGGGCCTCATTGCTTTTTTTTTTTTGAACTGTAGTTTATTTATTTCTTAATACTTTTTAAAGAAAAACAATTAGAGGATCAGATGCATGATTTTTTAATGGATGCAGATCTTCTATGAGGTGTCTCAAGATAAGTCTGAGGGTTTATATTTAGATGCCAGAAATGTTGTAGTTGCACTAATTTGAAATGTTTAGCTGTAATTTATAAATATCCTCTGAGCCATAATTTTGCATGCAAAACTCCCCCATAATCTCTCTGTAGGTATGTTAATATATTGATGCATTAATGCCCTTTATCTAAATGACCTTTTTCCCCCCCTCTCCCTCCATAACTTTGGGTATCTAAATTGATGACCGCTCAATGACACAAGCAAGATAACAGTGCTGTGTATTATACATTTGTTTATATTATCGGCACTTCTCAGTATAGGTGGAAGGAACCATTACCTTTATTTAACAGTGGTTTTTCTTTTTTGTTGTTGTGTTTTACAGTTCTTTTCCCTGGTTCAGCCTGAACTATATACCAGGCCCTGCTGAAAATACCACCCAACAGTTTTCTTCTGCAGCTTATCCAGTTTCTCTTAAGTGCCCTGTACATATTGTATGTTTTATGATGAGATGCAGTTTCTTAATGTGTATTACAGAAACACTACTGGTATTTGCAAATATATAGTAAAATTGTTTTATTGAACTCTCATTTTGGGGGCTTGGGCACATTAACAAATTAATCCATCTGTATAGGGCTTTTGCTGTTGGATAGAATAAAAACCACCTGCATAATGACTTGTTTCATGCTAGGACCCTTAAAATTGTATGTGCAGAGCAGGCAGTAAAATAAGACACTTGTCTTAGTTGGCTGCAAGATTTTGGGCCAGAAGTTTCTTCTGAAATGGCAGTATGTAGCAGCATTCTTGGTACAATAAGCATGGCACATACTGGAACAAATGCATTTTACTGCACAGGTAAGGAATGTGCCACAATATCCTGTATGTATGCACCCATTCACCCTCAGACACACACACAGAGCGTGTATTTGAAGATCTGCAGAGCCTTTCATTTTCATTTGACAAGTCAGCAAAAGCCCTACGCTTGATTCAACCAAAAATATTTCCATACCTTCTCTTTTAAGTTTTACACAATTTATATGGTAGGTGTAAAAGCAAACTTAGTGAACTGTACCATATTATTAACCCCTAAATCAAACTTTTTTTGTCTTGTGTATCTTGATTTTTCTGTGTGCTTTATAGTGAAGCAGCCGACACGAGTCGTTGTTCATAAAACAGCTTTTGAAAGTTGAGAGCACACCCCTGGAGAACCGACTGTGCTTGCTTACGTTTGGTTCATGACTTAAAAATCGAGTACAGGTGATGAAATCTTGGCAGTGTTAACAAAAAAGTAGTGTGTATTGTGCTATTTTTTTGCTCTAGAAACTTAACCATTTGTAGAGAAAAAGGAACAGTCAAATTGTCACACATTGAAGTTGCATTCTGACAAAAAAATTTAATGATAAATATTAATAGACAACGAGCTTTGTATTTTAGCCAACATAAGTACTTTCAACAAACTCAGGTGGTGTATCAGGGAGACATTTTCTGGGTGTTTTTGTGTATTTTCTGCCTTTGAAATGGAATGCACTCTAATGCAAGGCTGTTTCTCTGCAGGAGTTATTCCTGATGAGACTAAGGCTTTGTCTCTCTTGGCACCAGCTAATGCTGTGGCAGGTCTGCTGCCTGGAGGTGGACTCCTGCCTACTCCTAACCCACTTTCTCAGGTAGGCTTCCCCTTTCCTGTCAGGCTAAAGCTAATACGAATGATTAGATGTATCCTGGTTGATTCTAACTTCTGTTGTGGTTTTTTTTCAGGATAGATAGACTGATGTAGTTAATTCCATGATTCTGTGTACTAATGCCTATTCCTAGAATGCTTTAGTTTATGTGTCTTGGATTGTTACAGCTGCCTGATGTGAATTGTGGCTAAATTATTATAGTTGGTAGATGGGATACTTTTATTTCCCTAATATGATGCTTCTGGTTTCTCAGGGCCCCTGTGTTTATATCTCTTTCTCATCCTTTTTTTTTTCCTCCATTCTGTGCTTAAAGACAGATTTGACAAGCAATAGAGATCTTGTAGGCTTTACATTTGTGAAATTCAAGGGGTTGACATGCTGTGGAGATACAATTTTCCCCTCAGCTGGAGTATTAAAGGTATTTGCTTGTTATCTAAATACACAAAAATTCATGTGGAAGATGAACCTTAAGAATAATACATCACGGAAATAGTTTCAGTCAAAGCACGTGTCTTATTAGAGACAGAAAATCAAAGTACAAGAAGCAAATTAGTAAGAATAAAGCTTCATTAATTCAAAAGTTCCCAAATCTACTTCTTCAGCTTGTGCTTATGTTTTCTTTGTGTAGCTTCTGTTAGGCTTTCCGATGGCGTGGAAGATGTATTTGACATTGAGTTGTTCAGGTCTCTTAAATCATACATGAAGGGAAAAGCCTAAAGTTTAGCTTTGAAACTCGAGGAAGGGCATGGAAGAAACAAACACCATCTTAAGGATGAGTTTCATCAAAACCTGTATATGTAAATTCGTGAAAATGATTGTTGAACCACCTTAATCTTGGTTCTGTCACCTGAATCCTAGCCTGCTCCCAATCTGCTTAATGGTAGAATCTATTTAACACATGCATTTTATGGATAATTGTGGTGCATGGTAATTTTTTTCACATACATCTTGAAAGCTGGTTATGCAGCTCCTCTTGACTGTTACTGGGAGCTGGACATCTTACTCTCACACTTCAGGGAGGAGCTTGTACAGTTGCAAGAGACCAGCTAACTGGAAAAGTCCCTGTCAGATAGGGTAAAGTTCCACTGCCTTGCTCCTGACTACATGCTCTTGCTGCTGCCTTTACACTGGCTCTGGAGCTCATCAGATTCTTCAGTGAGCTATTGTGATAATGGGATGTAGCCACAAAAGTATGTTCTCTGACTCCTCAGTGGGTTGAATTGGTTGACAAATGAGTCTCAAGTGCCAGAGCTGTCAGGAAGGAGGCAGTGAGGAGGATGCAAGGAAGGGAGAGCAAGCCCTCATAGTGACAGCACAGCGCTGGTTAACATGAGATCACCTGGGTTTAATCTCACTTTATGTTTTGATCATTTCACTACAAATGGCCAAAAATGAGGTTCTTTATGAGGCTTCTAGATTAATTTAAGGAATTCAGACCTGTACCATCATCCTACTTACTCTTCTAATAGTTTTTCAACCCATTTTCTAGTTCTAACTAGAGAAATTTGCAAATACGTAATAATATTATATTGTCTTTTAATATAAAACATGTTCATTTCAATCCTAAATTGATTTAGATCCGTGGTTGTTGGCATTGTTTCATTTTAGCACTGGAAAACAACTTCATTTTAAACTATTTCCTGACTGTACTGGAACGTTCTTTTTTACTTCCCTTGACTCACCTATTGGGATGCAGAGGAAACAGAACTTCATTTTAGAGTATTTATAGGAGCAAGAATCTTTCCTATACTAAGCTTTGGAATACCTGGATAGGGAAAACTGAAATACTCTGGCTAACCTTAGTATAATGTTTCCTGTAGCTAGAAGCCTGAGGAAACCCCAGTTCGCATTTTCACATCTCATGCTTGGGAATCTTGATCCAACAGCTTTTTATCAGTTGAATATGGCTTTGTCTAATTGCTGCCTTTGTTACAGATTGGTGCTGTTCCTTTAGCTGCTTTAGGAGCTCCTGCTCTTGATCCTGCCCTAGCTGCTCTTGGGCTTCCTGGGGCAAATTTAAACTCACAGGTATGTCCCACAGTCTTATCTTATATAGTTCAGTTATACGTGATGCCCTTAGGGTTCATCAGTATATTAAATAACAAGCTGAAGATCTGGAAATGCTATACTTAGGTTTGAAGAAGTGCTAAAAAATACTACTTTTTATGAGAGGCTTGGCTGAATGTAGTTGCACAGGCTGTGGGTTCTTTAAACTCCTTAGAATTGTTACAGAATGCAGTCTGTTTCTTGGTATAGCAGGTTTGTATATGAACACTTCTCTTTTGCTACCCTCTTCTGTTGTAAAAGTAATTTTCATTTATATCAGTTTAACAGCCACTGAAAAAATCCAGTGATGGTTTTTTCTGTTGTTTCGAATAAGTAGTATCTGTAGGAGTATCAAATTAAATGCCAGAGGGACCTAAAAAATAGTGTGGGGCTAGTAGTTAAACACTTCAAACGTGTGTCATTATCAAGCTGTGAAACTGTACTTATAGTAAATAAAGACTTTGAGTTTTTAATGTTTGTAGGTGTAGAAAATACAGAGGAGGCTTTGTTAAACTGTAGTCTTTAAAGAATAAATAAAAGCAGACTTTAAGTACTAAGTGATAGTGAGTTACATTGGGTTAATACTTAAGATATAAGAACCAAATAGTGTACAGAGAGCAAACATGTTTTACAGGTACAAGAAGTAGTAAATTTCAGTGTACAGGAAGTAGTAATAATTCAGTGCATTGCTAAGAAACAGGGGAAGTTTAGATTGGATATAAGGAAGAAATTCTTTCCTGTTAGGGTGGTGAGGCACTGGAATGGGTTGCCCAGGGAGGTTGTGAATGCTCCATCCCTGGCAGTGTTCAAGGCCAGGTTGGACAGAGCCTTGGGTGAGATGGTTTAGTGTGAGGTGTCCCTGCCCATGGCAGGGGAGTTGGACCTGGATGATCTTAAGGTCCTTTCCAACCCCAACTGTCCTGTGATTCTGTGATTCTATGATTTAGCATTGTCTTTATGCATGCCATGTATAGTAACAAGCAAATATGGTGATAATGAAATAAAAAATGAAAAAAAAGCATTCTAAATGCCTATTAGGAAAATACAACTGGTATGAGGAAGGGTTGTTTCCCTTGTTCATTAAGCAGCTGAATGTAACAAAAGTGGGTTCAATGCAAGGCAGCTTCCATACGAAGAAATTAGTGGGGACTAAACATGTTGTTACAATACCATTGGTACAGGAAGTGACCAATTGTCATAGAATTTTTAGATCAAAGAACATTTTGCTTATAAATGACACTGGGGTCTTCCCATGGACAGGCGAGTTTGTTCTTTAATGAGATCTCCATTCTCTTGAAGTAACCGAGAAATAATTCGTAAATACCAGGGGTGCATTTTTATTTTCAGGTGCTTTGATTCTATCCAGGAACTTTTTTGTCTGGAACTTGTTTGGGGAGTATTTTGGTTTGGTTTCTTTATCTATAGAGACCTCTTGCTTTAGCTGCTGCTAAGGGTACATTCAGGCAAGATGATCCTCTTAAGCACACGCATCTTCTTCCAACATGGTTTTAACTGTTGTTTTTGTTTCTCCTCACAGTCTCTCGCAGCAGATCAACTCCTAAAACTTATGAGCACAGTGGACCCAAAGTAAGCATCAGTGTTTACGAATCTTTGTATTGCAGTGCACTGGATCTTAGGAATGTCTTTTGTGATTCAGTATCCAGTCTTTGTCCTGCTGGATCTAATTAAGGTTGGAGAAAACTCGTGACTTGGGGATCTTGTGCAGACTCTTGTCTGTGGTAGAGAGAAGAGGGGGAGGAAATGATTCAGCCTTGCATCCATGGAATGATGCCGATTAATATGCCAGAGAAAAAAGCTGTTAGACAAATGAGTAGATGAGAAAAGTTCTAAAAGCAAAGAAGCCAAATCTGCCTCAGAAAGCCCTGGTACTGCAAATTGCAGGGAGCTTTTGGAAAGAAGTGTTTCAACTCTCAGCTTCAGCAAGTACTGCTTGCCTTGCTGCTCTGTTAGCTAAACAACTTCTAGCCCTGTTTGGCTGTTCAGTGTTTTTAAATTATCAGAGCCATCTCATCTAAACCAGGAGATAAAGCTATGTATCATCCAGCCCAAACCATTCTCTGACACGATTCTGTGATAGGTGACCCATCTTCTTTTTTTAATACTGTTCTGGCATATTATTCCCTATTGTAAATTGATACTTCTGTAAGCAGAGATTGCATAGCTGATTGAGCAAAACAGTTAACAAAGATAATGGATTAGATATACCCAGTACACCTGACTTCAAAGCCACCTTGCAGAACACATCTTCCGAATTGCAGATTTCATCACTGTAGACTTCCCGGTGTGGCTTATGAAAATGGAAGCTGACTTTCTGCTGTGTTATACACTGTTACCCATGGAGTTGGTCTTTCAGGTGTTAAGAATTGAAATTGTGTTGTACAAGTCTTCTGAAAGGTGTCATTAGAAACTTAGAAACTGTGCAAGCCAACGCAAAGCTTCCTGCTCTTTGTGGTTGACTGGAATTCTAAGAGCCATAGGTGCTAATATCTCGTGCTGCTGTTTTCAGCACAGATACCACATCTTAGACTTATTACTCTCTTATCTAGGTGGTGACAAAGTGTGGGCAGGTACTGATTCACTTAGATCAGCCACTCTGAATAGGCTTCAGGCTGTATTTCTTGGATTCATTAATACTGAATTACTTAAATTCCTTTTTTTATTTCCCAGGTTGAACCATGTAGCTGCAGGTCTTGTTTCCCCAAGTCTGAAATCAGATACCTCCAGTAAAGAAATAGAAGAAGCTATGAAAAGAGTACGAGAAGCACAGTCATTAATTTCTGCTGCTATTGAGCCAGGTAATTCTAAATACCTCATTTACTTCAAGAGGCAGTTTTGATGTAGTATATGATAAAAGCTCATGGTCTGCAAAATATTGGCTTAATGCTTTCATGTTCTATGACTTAATGTATGGCTGACAGGTTTTTAATTGTCCTACAATGGGAATGCTGCATGTGTCCTGCCGAATGTTGCAGGGAATTAAGGGTCTCTTGGTTTTTTCCCCAAATTCCCTTCGTCTGAAGATGGAAAAAGGCTTGAGCTTCCCCTGGTGGAAGTTCATAGTGCCAGCTCTGAGACTTCATTGGAAACAGCAAGTGACTTAACCACTTGGCATCCTGGTGGTTCTTGTGCTTGGGGATGATGTCCTTTCTTTAACTCCTGATCTGTGGAAGTTTGTAAATGATTCTTTTTTTCTGTAGCTGATTTCAGTAGATTTTATTTTAGAACAAGATGCAGCAGTTCATCCACAAATGTCAGACCCACCAGATCTGAGAAGCAGGAACTTGAAACACTGAAAATACAGTTTTCCAGCCGCTGTTTGCTTTCAGGAAAGAACAGAGCTCCTGTTCTATTACACCAGAAAACTGTGCTGATCGCTTTGTTTGAGGCTTTCTGTGGGAAGTTCGGAACAGTGATTTGAGAGGTTGTTTAGCCCTTCGCAAAGTGGCAGATTCTGAGATCTTACCAAGGCTTTTCATTGTCCTGCAGCAATTCTTACCTTTCAACTGTTAAATTAAACATCTTCTGAATTTTGGCTTCTTCATTTTTGCATAAAGCATTATGTTGGTTTTATGTCACACACATCTTTATCTGTGAATTCTTTGTGTTGTCTTCTGAGGAAAAGGATAGATAAGCCTTACTTTCAAAATATTCCTTATGTTTATCTTGGTTATTTGTATGGCATGAAGCTCAATTTGTTCTTTTATAAAATCACTTTGAATACTGAAATAACACTGTGGTTTTTACTTTGCTTTCCCTTTTTAACCTCCAGACAAAAAAGATGAAAAACGAAGGCATTCAAGGTCGAGGTCACGCTCACGGAGGAGGAGGACACCTTCTTCATCTAGACACAGGTAGTCAGCTTGTTTGCCTTATAAAAACCCCACATGGCTGAAATAGTGCCTTCAAAAATCCTTCTTGGAAAGTGACACTTCACTCCTCGAGGCTGCCAGAGGGTTAGAGAAAGCTGAGGCCATGATCTGGCTAGACTGTAGTGTGCGATGGAGGCCAGCCTCTGGTTTTATAGGGAGGGTGGGAGAGAGCTGATGGCAAAAAATACCTCAAAAGTACCTGAAACTACTGCAGAAGGACCTTCAGGACACCGTGCAATGCTTGGACTTATTTTGTTTAGCAATGAGTGGCTGCTTGTATTAGATAAGAAACACCACAGCCCAGAGCCTTGGCTTTACACAGCCTTCACTAGTGTGAACACCTAAGCTGTTGTCCTTAAACCTCTGCTCTGTCTTCAGTCTCTTTCCAGTGTGCTCATGTGGTAGTTATAATTTGTCTTAAAACCAAGTCCTAGGAGGCTTCTCTGAGCACTGTTTTTAGGTACATAGATGTTACTTGCTGGGCTGTTTGGTTTTAGTATGTGCAGCACATTCACCTTAGTGGAAGCGTGTGACTAAAGTTTTCCCAGGGTTTTGTAGATTATGATTTACTTGGAGATCAGGACTGTTCAGGTGCTCTGACTAGAGATCTTAACAGTGTTCTGATACCCAGACTAGAAGACATATGGCTCATTTATGCTGTTGGCTTGTCAGCTCCAATCAGGCAGCACATGCCAGCGGCCTGTGCAAAGCCATTCTAACCATGGCTTTCCCATCTGTACTTTGCTATTTGCATATTCAGTAACTGGCTTGTGTTTGGTTTGGTGTTCTGAAACTTTGTTCACATTTCAACACAACAGACCAGTTTTCCTCTAGAATAGGCCTGATATTTTCTTACAAGAAGAGGAATAAGATATTTTCTTACAAGGAGGGTTAAAAAGAGATGATTGAAGCATCGTTCTTTGCCTTTTCACATTTGTGCACTTCCTTTTTCCTTGGTGGACTCAATGCAACTCTTGCTGTTTTCTGTATTCTTTAGTCATGTATCATTACACACTATGATACTCTGAGCACCAGGGAGGTGGATTTTGAATAGTATATTAAGATTCCCTGTGTTTAATTCCCATGTACAATGTGCTGCTTGTAGACGGTCAAGAAGCAGATCAAGGAGAAGGTCCCATTCAAAGTCAAGAAGCAGGAGGCGGTCTAAAAGTCCAAGGCGAAGAAGGTCTCATTCCAGAGAGAGAAGCAGGAGGTCCAGAAGTACATCCAAAACCAGGTAGTTGCTTCAGTAAATCTGTTCTAATTGCTAGCAGTGATTTACTACATTTTGTGCTTAATTTAGGAAAAAAATAAAAAGCCCAAACAAGCAAACAAAAAACACCCACAAAAACCAACACAAGGGCAAGGTTAAAGGCACAGTCTCTTGTGATGCCTTACAGACTAATAACAGACCTGTACATGTGCAGCCAGTTACATAAAAACACATAACCTGCTTTTCCTGAGAGTCAGCAGATGCAGCAGGCATCAGCCGGATCCCTCAGTAGCTGCCTCTGGAAAGCAGGAGCTGTGAGCATCTGGGCTTGCAGATTCTTTTGCTGTTCATACACAGAAGCTGTAAGAGCTATGATCTTATTTAGCTGTAGGTTACTAATCTGTGTTGTCATCATTGTAATGTGACTGGCCTCAGAAATACTAAACCATGTACACTATCCCATGTTGTTATCACGTCCGCATTTGTTTTCCTACATAGCAAAAGGAGGGGCTGCTACTTGAATAGTTTGACAATGACTTAAACTTTAAAATCTGTATTTTACTAAAAGGGATAAAAAGAAGGAAGAGAAAGAAAAGAAACGTTCTAAAACTCCCCCCAAAAGCTACAGCACAACCAGACGGTCAAGAAGCACAAGCAGGTACAGTGACACGACAGCTTTCCTTGCTGTTTCCAGCATTTTTATCCACTTTAATCAAAAGACCATTATTGTGAGTAGCAGGATGAGGATTCTGCTGTGGGTCCATTGGGTGTTTGCACAAATGCACACGTGCTCTCTACCCATGTTGATAAGATGATTTCTTTTTTCCCTAATACTGACTGTAGTTTTCTGGAGGTGCTGTTTGGGCTTAGAACAGTTTCTGCTCTGTATCAGAGAATGTGATTCACTGAGGTCACTGTTAAACTGTTTCCTGATTTATGGAATAAATACAAGCAAAATGTGTTCTGTTCTTTTTTTAAAACACTTCCAAAAATAGCTTGCAATAGTAACAAGGACAAACAGTCTTGTTTCTGGTTGCAAAAGGAGCCAGGGTCCCCAGTACAGTCTAAGAGATTTGTTCATGAAGATGAAGGTAGAACAGGAGATGACTTTGCTGATCAGGAGGGCTTTGCAGGGCTGCCAGGAGTAAATACCCATTATTGAACCAGAGGTGTATTTGTAGCTGTAGAGAAAAAAAGCCTTGATCTCTCTTTCCTGCAGAGAAAGACGACGCAGAAGAAGCCGGAGTGGAACACGGTCACCTAAAAAACCCAGGTCTCCTAAGAGGAAAATGTCCCGGTCCCCATCTCCAAGAAGGTCAGTTGGTCTCTTGGCTACAGCATAAAGTGGTGCCTGGGTGGGAGATTCCCCAACTGGGAACTGCAGCAGGGGAACTCCAAAAGGGAGGAATTCCAGGGGGGATGATAGGAGGTACCGAGCGTTCCCAGCCCCTTTGGCTCTGTACCATAGGGGCCAGCTGACGTCTGGGTGGGCCTGGACATTATGTGGTCCTCTCTTCCCCAGATGAGGGACTTTGAGATGCTCCATAAAATGCTGGTGTGTTGCTGTTCTTAGACTCTGCTTTTGGGTGGTTGGTTTTGCTCCAGAGCTGGGAAATGGGGCTGCTGGGTTATTTTGTGAGAGTTAACAGCGTGTTGTAGTTACACACTGCTGTTCTCCCTTTAGATTTGTAATGGACTGTGGGTGACAGCTATGGGTGGTGTGGCTGTCTCTTTAATTCTTCTCCATACTTTATCACTGTAGACATAAAAAGGAAAAGAAGAAGGATAAAGACAAGGAGAGAAGTAGAGACGAGAGGGAGCGCTCAACCAGCAAGAAGAAAAAGAGCAAAGACAAAGAGAAGGATCGAGAACGGAAATCTGAGAGCGACAAGGATGTGAAAGTATGTTTCCAAGCCTGCCCGGCTGCAGGGCCCTGCTGCAGCCCTGACCTGCAGCCAGCAGGGGCTTGGAAGGCAAGTTTTACTCTTCCTTCTTTTTCTCTCGGCAAAGCAGGTCACAAGGGATTACGATGAAGAAGAACAAGGATACGACAGCGAGAAGGAGAAGAAGGAAGACAAGAAAATGTCAGAGTCTTCCTCCCCTAAAGCAAAGGAGTCCACTGCTGATAAAGGAAGTGGGGATGCGGTGAGGGAATCCAAAGTGAATGGGGATGATCACCACGAGGAGGACATGGACATGAGTGACTGAGCTCTGCCTGTGCAGTGGCCACGGCTGCAGCTGTGCATCAGTGTCATTCCTGTGTGATTCTTTTATGCTGTACTCGTTAATCCTAAACCTCGATGTATACAGCTCTGAGCTACCCCTGGTTTGTAAATCTCCTGATACTAACTCACACGAAAGCTTGGTGGAAGGGTAACCATCCTTGTTCTGGCTGAGGGAGCGCGGAGCCAAGCCATTTCTACTAACTTGGTGATGCTTCAAGCAAAAGTAAAAAGCTGCATGCATCTACAGCAGGCATGGACTGTTTGTTGTCTGATCTCCTGTAGTAAATCAGCTCACCTCCGATAGTGTCTCTAGAATTTGATTCATTGCAGTAATAGGGAAGTAGGGGGAATGCACTGACTGCATGGGGATGGGGCAGAAACATCCTCCCTCTTGGGATGTCCTGCAGAGCGGTGCGAGGGTCCAGCACTGGGACTGCGCACACCACGGTGACAGCACAGCTGGAACCAGCGTTCTCATAGAGGTAGCTTTGGGTTCTGTTGTTTTGTTTATTTCTTAAAGCCATGGGGCTGGGGTTGGTTTTGATTTTCCCGGTGGGTTTTGTTTGGCTTTGACAAGGTTAAGATGCACTGACCTTTTTGAGGGCTTCCTTTTTAATCCCCTGTAATGGTTCTTTAGCTTTTCCTCCTGAGCCTTGGGGCAGAAATCCTCTGCTTGGCCAGCGCCCAGTGATGAAAGGTTGATTTGTGCAGTTCTCCTAAGCCAGGTTCTTTTATTTGTTACTGAGCTGAACACTTTGCAAAGAGGTAGTAGTGCATTTTAAATCAACCTTTGGATGCTTTTAAAAGCAAGTCTACTTGATAATGTACTTTTTACTTGATCTCAAGTTGTATAAACTAATACCTTTGTGTTTACTGTCACTGCAGTAGTACTCTTATGCACAGTGATTCCATGTTATCCGCAGAGTAGTTAGGCAAAGCTGTTTCCTTAGTTACAGAAGTCCAGGAGCTCTCACTTTCGTGCAGGTCAGAAGACAGAAGTAGGCCACGGTCTGTGCCATGTCCATGTACAGTTTCTGAAATTGTTTTACAGAACTTTGATAATAAAACCCTGAAACTTACCTCTGCTGCTGGTTATTTACACAGGAAAGAGCTCAGTACCAGCTCCATCTGCTCAGAACCTGGGGTAGCTCAAGGCCAGGGTGTCACACTAAAGATTTACTTGAGTGCTGAGGGGAATGAAGGGAAGGGGCTGCACCAGAGGCGGCTGACAGGAAATGTGTGTTGGTAGAAGTCTTTGTATTCTCATTGAACTATGACCATTCACCTCAGTGGAAGAGCAGCAGCCAGGGATGCAGGGGGGGCTTGTGCAGGTAAAGCTGCTGTCAGCTCAGAACTCCCTGGGTTAAAGGAGTCAGTTTGGGGATGAATTGAGAAGTGGTGCTTGAACTTTGGAAGCTGCCATATCAAGCCACCTCCTTAAACTGTCCCTTGACCCCAGGGCTGGTGGAGCTTCTCCTTGCACTGGAATGGGAATGTTTTACCAGCTTTGGTGTATTTTGTTGGTAGAGGCTTCTATAACACAGCTGGGCCCTGGCTTCAGTTCCTGGTAGGGAGAGGGGGACAGCTTGGTCAGGAAGTAAAACCAGGCACGCACCAGCTGTGTGATGACTTCAGGGAGGGTTGTTGGCATCAAGGTTTTTGTATGTGAAATTCCAGAACAGAACCCAAGACAAAGTAAATCTTGACGTGGTCCTGAGACCACGTTGCTGTGGGAGTCATTCACAAGTCAGGGCATGGAGCCCAGCATGGCACATCAAGGGCTGTGTGGAATTAAACTCATTTCTGGTTTATTGTACAGACACCCCAAGCCTGTGTTGTGCCTCTGGCCTCCCTGCAGGCAGCTTTAACCATGACGCATGCTGGGGTGGGCTGCAGTTAAAGCCCCAGCCCTGTGTTTCAGTACTTACTGCTTGTAGCTACCCCCAGAATTTCATGGCCCGTTACAGCAGCACGATGGCTGCAGCTGCAGCAGGCCCTGTACCTTTAACTGGTGGTATTTTAAGCACTGTTTTCCTCACCTTTACAATCTATTTATAAAGTCAGCAAAGCCTCAGCTAGAGGCAGACATCGTGGTGGCTGCTCTGCACGCTCAGCCTCTGATGCAGTTGAAGGTAAAAAAAACCCGAACACTAAAAACCCTTTTCAAGGCAAAATGAAACTCCTGAAGTGTCAGGTGTTGTTTTCCAAGCCATCCACAGCTCTTCTGAGAGACTGCAGAGACCAAGCCTCACACCTTGTTATTTAAAGGAGTACAGTGCTGGATTCTGGAGATACAACTGTCATTCCCTCCCTCCCAGGAGCTATTCCTGACTCCATAGCTCTCAGTGCCAGAAGCCACCATCCACATCATAGAACAGGTAGGGGTGGAAAGAACCTTAAGATCATCCAGTTCCAACCTCACACTAAACCATCTCACCCAAGGCTCTGTCCAGCCTGGCCTTTAACACCACCAGGGATGGAGCATTCACAGCTTCCCTGAGCAACCCATTCCAGTGCCTCACCACCCCCACAGTAAAGAACTTCTTCCTTAGATCCAATCTGAACTTCCCCTGTTTCAGTTTTAACCCATTACCCCTTGTCCTGTCACTACAGTCCCTAATGAAGAGTCCCTCCCCAGCATCCCTATAGGCCCCCTTCAGATACTGGAAGCTGCTCTGAGGTCTCCACGCAGCCTTCTCTTCTCCAGGCTGAACAGCCCCAACTTTCTCAGCCTATCTCCATACAGGAGGTGCTCCAGTCCCTGATCATCCTCGTGGCCTCCTCTGGACTTGTTCCAGCAGTTCCATGTCCTTTTTATGTTTAGGACACCAGAACTGCACACAGTGCTCCAGGTGAGGTCTCACGAGAGCAGAATAAAGGGGCAGGATCACCTCCTTCGCCCTGCTGGTCACACTCCTTTGGATGCAGCCCAGGATACGGTTGGTTTCTGGGCTCAAGCGCAGACTGCAGCCGGCTCATGGTCATTTTCTCATCCACCAGCACCCCCAAGTCCTTCTCCTTGGGCTGCTCTGAATCTCTCCTCTGCCCAGGCTGTAGCTGTGCCTGGGATTGCTCCGACCCAGGTGTAGGACCTTGCACTCGGCATGGTTAAACTCCATGAGGTTGGCATCAGCCCACCTTAGGTCCTTCCACTAGAGTCTGGAGTCTGGAGCTTCACAGAGGGGAAAGGGCACTTTGTAGTGAAAATGCAGGGGTTTATTGAGGTGACCAATGCAATGCCCTTGCAGCCAGAGCGGGGCTGCTCAGCCCCAGGGGCACATGGACCCTGCAGGGAGATCAGGACAGTACCGCACCAGGGAACCAAACATCAGTGCTCACACGTGGAACAGGTTCAGAATCCAACAGCGTATTTTGGTCTTTATTCTAACAAATGATACAACCAAAAGTCACGATTAGTGAAGGAAAGTTAAAAACATGGACCCGGACAGCTGGTAAAATGCAAAAAAGTGACATTTGTTTCCATGATCGTTACAAATTGTAAGGAAAAGGAAGGTGAAACTGCAGCATTACAGGAGGTTTGTTAATACAGGTTAAATAACGCAGCTCTCCTCCATGGACTACAAACCAAGAACAAAGACAGTTAAAAAACCCAGACGCTTGCTTGGACTATCAGCTCCACGCGGTGGGATCCCAGCACCCATCTCTCCAGAGGGGTTTGGAACACATCGACACACACAAACCAAGAGTAAAGTGAGTACAGTGACTGGAACAGCAGCTCCTTGGAAGGAAAAAGAAAACACATTCCCTTTGCCACCAATTAAAGCACAAGTTTGGAAGACCAGGAGAACAGTTTGGTCAAGAGAGAACCCTCGGGATGCTTCTGCCCTCGTTCCTTGTTTCTTTAGCAAAATGCATGGCTGGTTTATAATACTTGCTCAGAGAGAAACCCCGCAGCCATCAGGGAAGTGCTGAGATCAGAGCAGTGCTTGGACTCAAGGGGGCTCCCCACCAGCCCTGCTTGGAGGTTTCCATCTCCAGAGCCATCACTCGGCCCCGTGGCCGCTTCTCCTTGCACCACCCTGCACCTCAGCTGGGTGATGCTCACCAGACCCCTGTGAGTTCCCTTCTCCCCTCGTGTTAGGCCGGATGGCAGCAGGACCAGCACATCCACAAAGGTGGTTTTAAGCACCCAGGTCCTTCTCCCATTCCAGGCACCGCGTTGCAACAAGTCCCTAATCCCTGCACAAGCCCCATTAACAGGTTACAGCTGACAGGCTCCTCGTTAGGCAGTGAGAAGATACCCATTGTCCAGGGAACCAAACCTTCCCTCAGCACCCAGCGTGGCCTTAAGGGAAAGGGGAAAACCGAAAGCGCGGTTCTGCCAGCGCAATCCTGCCCGAGGGAATACATTTCCATTGGATATCCCAGCAGGAGACGGGATGAAGTGGAGGAAGCAGTGCCCACAGCACGGCTGCAGACTGGGGTTCTCTCCACCCTCCTCACCCACCCGCGGTGCTGGTGCAGGCATGTCCACACTGACAACACACACTTACTGCCAACAGCACAAGCCCCAGCAAGCAGAGCAGATCCAAGTGGAGAAATGGGCCCTACAGCCCCAGACACCGCGTCCTGAGCGTCCCCTGTGCCCGACGGTGCAGAGCTCAGCACCGGGGATGCTTCAGACACAAACCATCACCTGGAGTCAGAAGCAGAGGTACCGAGGGCAGCTGCCCGAGGCTCACTGCGTGCGCTGTCACAGGGCCCAAGCAGGCACCGAGCGCAACGTGCCTGGAGTCAGGCTGCTACAGCAGGGGAGGAAGCAGCAGCCGGGGATGCACACCATAGTAACCCAAAGGCTGCAGCCATCCGGCTCTGTGCCTGCTCTCACTCCACGTCAGAGCGAGCCCTAACAAACAGGGCAAGCACTGTAACAAGTGTCTGCACGTCTGGAAAGGTACCAGAGTTGTTCATGGTGCGATCGGGCTGGTCAAAAACCCCAAACCTGCAGCCAGAGGCCTTGCCTGGCACAGAAACCATTCCCACAGTGCAGCGGGCTCCAGGGCAGACACCACCTCCTGCTCCACCTGAGGCCATGGGGTGTCCACACGGAACCCTCCTCTCCTGGGGCTGCTCAAAGAGCTCTGTTCCTACTCTAGAGCCTGGAGCCCAGGCCGTGGCCGTCACTGCCTCACCTGCACAGCCCCAGCTCCGAATGCTCCCTCCTTTGCCAGTGAGCTCCGTGTGGCCGTTTGGAGCAACCAAAGGCACAGGACAGGCCTGGTCCCTCCCCTGCAGCCCAGGAACAGGATTCCTGCCGTTCACCTCCCACACAAACCTCCTCCTGCTGCGGTGCTCCTGTGCCTGCTCCCACTGGTGCCACCCAGCACAGCCCTGCACGGGGCGAGGCCACAGCCCCACTGCTGCTGAGCCCGGACAGGGTCCCTCAGCCTCCCCGTGAGCGCGGCTGAACCGAGCCCAGCAGGAGCACACGGTGGGTGCTGGGTGATAGCTCAGATGTGAACACCTCAGGAACTCATCATTACTTGGAAGAACAAGTTCCATCATTCCTGCCCAATGCTCAACACCTGCTGCCGGTGCAGTGCATCAGGAGGTGCCGCAATCCTGCACTTCCCTTTGCTTCCCCCCCTGTTTTCCACTCGATTTTGAACTGCAGGGCATCAGTCACAGCGTTACCCACGTGTCCAACCTGCAGGTTTCCAGTGACACTGCAAGAGGCTCAGCCTCTGTTTCCATTCCCAGCTCATCTGTGCTCTGCTGACAGCGGTTCCATGGGACTCCACCTTAGGTGGATCCTGCACTTCCCTGGAGCTGCGTCTTTGGGTTCTACGCAGATGGAGGTCACCGGCTTTGAAGGAACATCTGCTTGGGATGGGTGCTCCCTGTCCTCACAAGCCAGCTCCTATTGCCCTGCAATAAGCCACCTCCACTCATGACCTGCATGGTTAGTTAGGTCAGGTACCTCTGCTAAGCATGGCTGGAGCTCTCTGATACGAAGTTTGATACTTGACCCTATGACTTCCAGAAAAAAGTTTTAACTACAGTGCACAAAGAATATAATTTTGGAACTATTTACAGTTTTGTACAATTACACCACAGCACTTTCAATGCCTCAATACAAACAAATAGCACCATTAGCCTTTTGCACAAGTTCTGTCTAACAAACCAAACAAGCTGGATTATCCTCAAATTAGGAGACTGGAACCACCTGGAATGAGAATGAGCTCAAGAGGCCAGAGTACTGAAGCACCTACCTACAAAATATCAAGAGGAAGGAAATTAAACCTGGAAACATCCTAAGCATCTGCAAATGAAGTCTTCCAACGTGAGCCCTATTCAGTGTGCACTACAATTAAACTAACCTCAAGAGAAACAACTTCTTGTATGAAGGTTTAATGCTCAAGTGTACTGTTCTAGTAACTCTTTCTATACACCCCATGGTTCTGAGTGGCCGCTGAACACAGACACGAGATGATCTCAACCATTATGGAGCAAGTCTCCTATGTGGATGTGAAAAGAGAAGGAAAAAGGTGACAATCTGTAGCTAACAACCCCCCTCCCCGAGCACATTCATCAGCACAGCATCATGGGCACAGCAGGGACGTCCAAGCCAGCGTGATGAAGTTGAGCATGAAGCCAACACAAGAAAGGTCAGTGAAGAAACAAAGGGTTCAGAGACATGGATAGCACCACAATGGACTGCACTAAGGTGCTAGAGGAGGTACCTTATTCCCTGCAGAGCAAATGCTATCTCTGAAGTGTATTGCAGTGTGAAAACCCAACTGTTTAATGGTTACCATTTGGTTCATTCCTCTACAGAAAAAGCATTCCTTCTAATATACGTTCAGCTAACATTCAGATTACTGAACTATACATTGTGATACGTAGTTTACAATCCATGAAAACAAAGCTTGAAAGAATACAACATGGTCAGTCGTAAGCAGGGTGGGATGATGCAGAGGGCTAATATCCAGCTAAGACATGTCAGCCTGTACGCTAATGGTCCGAGAGTGCTCTTTGTATCACCAAGAAATGTATAAAATTTAAAAACAATGATAGTCCTCACAGCTGCTCAGTGTCCCCAGGCCCTCGGGGTGGCACCGCCACGCTGCAGACCTGCGCGGAGACGAGTGTGAACGACACATCAGGAGACTGGCTGGAAATCAGGAACTACATTAGACGCCCGTTATAGTGAGTACAGTACATCAGTCATTTGATACATGTTCCCTTTTCTTCTGGGTTATTAAGTTTATCCCTTCCTTCACGACCCACTTCTCTAGCTCTATCTGTGGGCTCTTTGCAGCCTTTTGCTTTCACTGTGGTACGCTGGTATTGGTATTCCCCGTTCACCTTCCAGTTTAGCTAGAGATCGGGGAAACGGCTGGGGTCCTCCTTGTAGTCATCAGGAATAGTGAAGATGGATTCATCAAATTCATCGTAACGGAACTCCTGAAAAGTCACAGTGGCTGTGATGGTGGGAAATACAGGAATATCTGGACAGGAAGCAAAACGGTACAGTGAAGGGCAAAGAAATGCAACCCTGCCAATAAGCACCTACTGGTACTCAGGGATCTGTAACTTCAGGCTTGGCAGAGACATGGCAGCTTGTTTGGTGTTCAAAGCTCTTTAAGGGATTTAAAGGAAGTTACTTCAGAATGTACCCAGATACCCTGAGCAAAGAAACAGTACCCATCTCAACACACCCTTCCAGGAACTCTTAGCAATATAAATCCAGTGGTTTTCATTTCCTGCTGCAGACTGACATGGAAACCAAGGTGCTGTGAACATACAGATTAATCTGTTAACATGGAGGATATCTGCCTCTAAGATAACCTTCCCACAAGTAGGCTTCCCTTGAGCAAATGCACATGAAAAGACAAACCTTTCCCATGTTTGCTTTGACAACACCACCCTTTTCCAATCTGGATTGACCGTGAACACTTAAGTTACCCTCAATAAAACTGGTCCTGCCCAGACACTAACTTTAAGAGCTCAGCAAAAATTCAATCCTCAACAAACAGAGCTGTGCAAATGGGATAGGAGCAGAAATCTGTTCAGGCTTGTTCAGCTTAAACAGCTTACAGGGATGACAGAAATCCTGTCACACTTAGAAAGGTGTTACACTTATTACTTCCTGGCAGTTTGTGCTGTGATAATCTATACCATGACTGAACTGCTTTACACATTTCCATTGGTTACAAGTGGAATAGTTTCCTCTATTTTTGTGAGTGAAAACCCAGTAATCATCAGTAATCCCTGACGAAAAAGAAAGATGAAAATGCTACAAAATGCTTAACTCATGACTGAGATCAGCTTCCAATGCAAGGACAATTCAGCAAATCTGCATCACTCTTAGAGCAAACCTAAGGAAAATAACCAAGCTCTCTTCCTGACTAGGACTAGATTCACCTTTCAGCTGCACATTCCTTACCTGATGTTACTTCCACAAACTTAACTCTTCCTCCTGAAGTCTACAGCAACAAAGTTTTTATGTCAGAGTTCTTTTCCAAAACTCAGCAGAAGTTGTGAATGTACTGTATGAATAAATACACCCATTTGGAAACATAAAGCCAGAGCTGTTGTAGTCACCTTACCTAATTTTACAGGGAAGCCTGGTGGAAGCTTCATTTGAACAAATTCCCTAAGTTTGTTAAAGTGCTTGAAGGGTGCAATTACTTCTAAAACATTCAACAATCTGAAAAGAAAAACAGGTTTCATTATAAATTCCTGTTTCACAGCTTTCCCTCTAGAGAAAAGGACGTAACTCTGTGCTAAGACTTGTTACAGGCAAATACATTCTGGAATTCTGTACACACAGGCACATCAGTATCGTGACATTAATGACAACAGTTTGGGGTAAAGGGGCCTTAAAGCTCATCCAGCTGCAACCCCTGCCACAGGGAGGATGAGCTCAGGCTGAAGGCAGCCTTTAGACTTTCTGGTATCCTCATTTATCCTCCTGTGACAGTTGTTTTCCTTCCCCTTTTGCTTTACTCCTTCCTCCTCATGAAGGTCCAGCAGATGGGAGCCAACGGGTTAGAGGGAGCAGCAGTGAGCATTCACCCTGCAGCCAGCAGGATCCCTGCAGCACCTCAGCCAAGCCCTGGGCTGGGTTAGGGAATGCCCGTCACCCCACACAGCCTCCTCAGCCCCGATGTGGGGTTTGCAACAGGAAACATCAAACCTGTTCCCGTACAAAGCCATCCAGGAGCAGTCACAGCCAGCTTGGTGGAAGCACCCGGTGAGCAGGAGCAGCCCCCACCTCCCTGGGAACTGGAGAATCCCAGCCTGGTTTGTGTTGGAAGGGACCTCAAAGCTCCTCCAGCTCCAACCCCTGCCACGGGCAGGGACCCCTTCCACTGGAGCAGCTTGCTCCAAGCCCCTGTGTCCAACCTGGCCTTGAGCACTGCCAGGGATGGGGCAGCCACAGCTTCTCTGGGCACCCTGTGCCAGCGCCTCAGCACCCTCACAGGGAAGAGCTTCTGCCTAAGAGCTCAGCTCAGTCTCCCCTCGGGCAGGTTCAAGCCATTCCCCTTGGCCTGTCCCTACAGGCCCTTGTCCCAAGCCCCTCTCCAGCTTTCCTGCAGCCCCTTTAGGCACTGGAGCTGCTCTCAGGTCTCCCCTTCAGGAGCCTTCTCTTCTCCAGGCTGCCCCAGCCCAGCTCTCTCAGCCTGGCTCCAGAGCAGAGCTGCTCCAGCCCTCGCAGCATCCCCATGGCCTCCCCTGGACTCAGTCCTACAGGTACATGATAAACCTGGTCAAACCTCTCTGGTTTGGTATTAAGTAAGATAAGCGCTCAACTCTTCTAATAACAGGCACCCCAGCTCTGAGGTCTCTAATTTAGCAGTGTATTTGCTTAGCAGCATGACTTCAGTCATATGTTTTAAGCTGTTTTCCCTATCTGAAGATATGAAAAATGTTGCAGTTCATAAACACATTAAAACATTCCCTACACATTAATAACATTCACAGCCACTTATTTTGACTTACGATTCAATTCCTAAGGGAAATTCCTGGCTCATAGCTATCGTGGCTTTAAAGGTTTTCTTGCTTTCTTTGCACACCAGCTCTCTACCCAGATGAGGAGCTCTGTAAGTGGAGGGGAGAAAGCCAAAGTCAGTTTTTTCTCTCAATGAAACCTCAGTTTTAAATGAAAGAAGACAGACTCAGGTTTGAAAACATCAGTAAAGAATCCCTTCACTAAAGGAAATACTTTAAAAGTAAAAGCTGGGCATAGTAAAGAACAGTCAGTAACCACCTTAATTCAGGTCACTGTGAGCTCTGCTAAACCAGGAGACAAGACAAAAGCAGTGTGGAGAACGACTTAAAATCTTCATCTAATTCCTCATGAACATTACATTAGTAAGCTCTACAGAAAGACATGGCAGATACCCAGAAACACGTGCAGCTGACTTTGGGTGCGAATTCAAACAGGCTGTATGTGAACAAAGAATCAGGTTGAAGTAGAAAAAGGGTAATTTTATTTCAGCCTAAAATGCAACACAATCTCAGGAAAAAAAGCTACTCTACAATCACTGCAATGCAATACTGGAAAACACAGGACTACTGCAGGACAGGTAACAAACAACATAACAAATCTTTTCCTCTTTTGCTTTATAAGAGCTAGAAAGCTGGTTTTCCCATTAAACTCCCTTCAGTTAATCAGATTATTAAAGAAAGCAAAATCTTGCATATTTCTGCCCCAGTAGCAAGAGCTGTTCAAGCATAGCCTATTTATTCTGCTTGAATTCTCATTCTGTCTCAAATATATTAAAAAGTTAACTAGTTAAAACCCCCCAAACCCCACAACAGATCCATGTCAATCTCCTCTCTGGCAGGTTCAAGCCATTCCCCTTGGCCTGTCCCTACAGGCTCTTGTCCCAAGCCCCATCTCCAGGTTTCCTGCAGCCCCTTTATGCACTGGAGCTGCTCTGAGGTCTCCCCAGAGCACAGCAGAGGGGCAGGATCCCCTCCCTGAGCTGCTGCTCACGCTCTGGGGGTGCAGCCCAGCACACGGGGGAGTTCTGGGCTCAAGCGCACACTGAAGCCGGGTCTTGGGGAGCTTCTCCTCAGGGCTGCTCTCAACCCATCCTCTGCCCTGCCTGTCCCTGTGCTCAGGATGACCTAACCCAGGGACTTAATATAAATACATAATGTAAATAGAATATAGATAACAACAATCCAACCCCAAACCCCACAACCCCAACCCAATACTCTAACAGTGCCTATGGACGTTAGTGCCAATAAAGCAGTAATACTCACTTTCCATTTTCAGCAGATATGTACTCTTCCCATGTAATTGTATTGGGTGATGGAGGAGTAAGGGACTGCCGTCTGACAGGCTGTTCAGAAAAACAGGTTTTAACTCTTTATCTTTCCTTACATGCTCTCACATTTTTGCCATTCAAAAGACACAACTGTTCTTCCACTCTACACAGGACAGCAGTATAGTCTATCCAGTCTGTGGCTGTACTTCACTGGGCTTTTCAATCTCCTGCTCTAGCTCTCATAGTCTCCATTTCGGTATTTGGCCTCAAACATAGATGTTGGCTGGTTTAATACATCAGTTAATCAGTCAATTCAAGTGTCAATGACAAGTAACAAAGGACAAGCTAATACAGACATAAATAAGTGATTTTAAATATGCATGTTCCCAGATGACGTCTGGCTCGTTCTGAATAGCTCTTGATTTCATGGTGATAATAACATGCTTAGCTCCGTTTTAATGAAGCTAAAGAAAACCATGATTGAAAGCAAAGCAGAAAGGCATTCTGAACCATAAACATTTGATCTAAAAGCAGTTAAAGTGATCTGCCACAGCCAAACCCATCATTTTTTACTAAGAGCCAAATTAAGACTGAAACATCCAATATAATCACAGATATTTCTGAATGTGTGCACTAATGAGGATAATTCATTAATGTATCACCATGATTATACTTGTAAGTCATATTTATTATTATAAATTCAGTGAATCAAACTAGAATAAAACCATTATCTAGAGATTCTGCTAAATGACTGGTGTGAAGGGTTATTCTCCTATGCACAAATACACATACTGTGAAGAATTACTTGATAATACCTCAAAATTTTGCTCCATTAAGTTGCCACCTTTACTGAGGCTCTCCATGATGGCTTTATTTCGAAGAATATCCTCCTCGCTGAGATGCTCTCTTCTTTTCCTTGATTCTAATACAAGTCCATTAACCAAGTAGAAATCTGCCAAAAAGTTTCCTACTCTTTCCTGCAGGAAAGGAATTGGACATTAGTGTCTCACAGGGATAAAATCATTTAAACTCTTGTATATCCAAATAACTGCATGTCAGTGCAGTAACTTCAGGACTGAAATGCTGTCATTCACACAACCAACCACATGAACTGTCGGTGGACAATCCCAGTAAGGTTGGGACAGCACAAAGGCAACAAGTCCATCATGAGCAGGGAGTTTGTACCAATGGTAATTTTAAGACATAAAGGACTGCTTAACAATTTAAGAGTGGCCAAGGGGAATCTGACTGAAACTCCCTTAAGCAGCAAGCTGTGTTGAAGGATAATTTAGAGGTGTAGAATATGGATTTGGTATCCAAAAGGAAGAAAGTTGTGCAACACTAGCTCAGATGAAAACCCATGAGGAATGGCACTGCCTGAACACATGCAGATGAAACCAAATTACTTCATAGTCACAGCATAATAATTTCCTACTCAAAGAAGATACCACAGTGGCCACTTCAGTTTCTTCACAGCTGAGAACTCAGACCTCAGACAGATGGGTAACACAGAAAGGAACACCCAAAGGAAACTACACATAAAGCTCCCACCTCCCTGCCACTCTGACACAGGAGAGCACAGACTCCTCACTGCACCCCCTGGAATGAATCTGCAGAGGCCTCATACTCCTACAATGAAGTAATTTTTATCATAAGGCTGTCTGCACTATTTTGTCCCCAGTAATGCAGCCTGTGAAGTTTTCTGTCTGCTTACTGTTTTGTCTTCTCGAAATAGCCACCCCGTTTGGGCACGCGTGAAGGTGATGGATTTGGTTGATAATGTTGCTGAGTAAATATCACTGCTCATCAAAATGTCAACCTCCTCTTCTGTTTCCATCTCAGATTCCTAGAAGAAAAATTCCCATATATGAGAACAGAACTTAATAATGGTGATTACTCTTTTTTTAATGTTTTTTTTACAGAAGAAGTTAGCAGTAAATCAATAAACCTCTTCATTTGGAACTTCTCCTAGAACCAGTGTTTCCTGAATTTTCAAATTCTTTTCTAGGCCAAATGGTTACCAATAGTTTCATCTTAAATGTTAATGAAAATAAAAAACTGCCCGAGGGGAGACTGAGCTGAGCTCTTAGGCAGCAGCTCTTCCCTGTGAGGGTGCTGAGGCGCTGGCACAGGGTGCCCAGAGAAGCTGTGGCTGCCCCATCCCTGGCAGTGCTCAAGGCCAGGTTGGACACAGGGGCTTGGAGCAAGCTGCTCCAGTGGAAGGGGTCCCTGCCCGTGGCAGGGGTTGGAGCTGGATGAGCTTTAAGGTCCCTTCCAACACAAATCATTCTAAGATTCCATGAAATAAAGCATTCTGATGATTTATCCAGAAGTTCAGCAGCCTCTTTCTACATGCAAAGATCCATTTATGTATGTAACTGGTTGGTAAAGCTGTAAATTAAAACCTTGACTAAAATACAAGGGGTCCAAGGAGTCATACGCTTGTGCTTGTTAGCAACTAAACTGGGCGCAGGGTGATGGAACAGATGCCAAGCATTGGCAACGAAGTTTGAAAACCCACCTGGGGACCCCCCCTGGGGAGCCCACTGGAAAGATTAAAAGTAGCACACATCATCATAACTTAAACCAGATTTGCCTGCCCAGAATGGTAACAGGTTTTTGCAAAAGGTTTACATTCCAGCTTTTTCCTCATTTCAAAGTTTGCATTCAAGAGCACTGTTTATCACAGCAAACTTTCATGTCATCTATACAGCTGAACTTATAACAACTGAACAACAAATTCTTTGGTTTGCATTTCCTTGGACTTGTTGGGGTCTTTCTGAGAGGCACATTTTGTTTAATAAGACTTCCGAAATGAAATTAAAACTTGAGCTATTTCACACTCTGTGTTCACACAGGACTTTACCTCGTGATGTATTCGCTGGTAAACTTTTTGTTCATTGTCTAAAACTACAAAAGATTCAGAGGGTGCAGCATCACCATTAAAAATGAAGCTTAAATCCCCTCGTTGGCACTTCATGTCGGTAAAGTCTATGAGAGTTGTGTCCAGCCTGTGAAAATACACCAACACAGGGACCCATAAACACTCAAATACACTCCTAAGTTCAGTTTTAAAGCAGAAGCATTTTGATTTGTTTAATCACAACCAAACACACAAAAGCCTAAGTTTTGATACATTTCCTAAGTGAAGCCTGGATGCAGAAATCAAATTGCTATTAATAGTAAGTTCCACATTATCACATCTCTACCATTATAAATGCATTCCAAACTTTTATTATGCCAACTTCAGAGGAAAAGGTAACATCTTCAGAAAACTTTATTCCCAAACTGCCAGCATGTGGAAGTGACAGAATTTATGTAGCCAGTGCTATACATCGAGAAATACAACTGCTCCATGTGAGCAGCACTCTATTCTGCAAGCAGCAGCCACTGATGTGAGTAACAATATTAGGACATGACCCAAATTACAAAGAGGACTAAGAAACAGACTGGGTTTTTTATTTGACTTATTTTACTTGCTATTTCTACTTTTTCCCCCTCACTAACACAAAAGAAATGCTTCTGCTGACCTGAATAACTAGAAGATGGAGGCAAGGACAAGGACCTCTCTAGCAATTAATATCTACTATTGCTAGAATATCTACTTCTTTAACAAAGATGTTTGAAGAGCCTGAATTTAGTGACCACTTCAGCTCTAAGGGGTGATTGCTTAATAGTCATCATACATTGACCTCTGATTTCAAGAATCTGCAGCTATTTCTACTCAATGCCAGTCTCATAGAAGCAGAAATAGTCTCATAGCACGCAGAAATGAGAAGGAGAAAAATGGGCTCGGACTCAAATTTGACCTAAAAAAATCAGTTCCCACACCTGTGCTAACAGCTTTAACAGAACAAGGTTTTCTACAGATTAAATCTTCTGAACCATATTATTGGGGTTTTGTCTGTTTTAGATTTTGGAACCTAAAGAAAAAGCCAAAAAAGACACTTAAATCCAAATGCCCAAACTAAGCAAGTTGAAGGAGCAGAGCATGGACAGACTCCTGGAAGCACTCTCTTGACCTTGTGAATCTGTCATATTAAGTACTTTGAGAAGAGAAATGACACCACTTTTTCTTACTACAGAGATAGGAGCAGCAACTTTTCTCCACAAACTCCTGAAAACTAATTTCTTTGAAATTTTATTAGAAACACCAAATTCCTATTTTTCAACTCCTCACTGTCATGTCTGGTAGATAAAGCCTTATACAGCTCAACTGCTTTTCTTTTCCATTTTAAGTGACTCAGGAACTGAAGTTAAACTCAGACCAATAGAGGGGTGGGGGGGAAAGAGACAGTCTGAAGTTCAAACCACTTCCTGGCTCTAGCCACCAGTGTGCACACACAAGGCTGTTTCACCAACGCTAGCATGCTCCTCAGTATCTTCAGCCCACAGTGGAATCCAGCATTTTCACTAGCACACGGATGTTTATGACTCAGATAACACACACTGTTAAATCAGACTTACCTGATATTTATACCTTGTTTGTGTATTTTACATGCATCAGAAGGCAGAATTCGGGAAAGTAAAGGCACTGAAAGTAGGAAGAGAGAACATAATCAAGACACTGAGGTTGCTCTGTACCTATTTCTATTAAAACTATGCATCAGTTTGAATCTCTCTTTCATTTTAATATATTGCACCCATTTTCCATTATGATCTCAATACAGATATAACTTACTAATACCAGGGTTATTTCTATTCAATACTAATACCAGGATTACTTCTATTCAATAACTGCAAAACTGATCTGTAATTGTACAGGCTGCTTTCAGCATCAGGACATAATTTAAAGTGTCCTCAGGCACAGCCAAATCATTTATAAATCCTAATAACTCATCTTCTAGCAGTTTGAAATCTTAATTCTAGGATTTGATAGTTTATTTAATATATTGTTCCAACTGAAAGCCCAGCTGCCATTAAAGCTGAACACCCCCCAAGCAGGAAAAAAAACCCCAATGCACTAAAACACCAAGCAAAGACAAAAGCACTGGTGGAACCAAGAGGCCATATAGAATTACAAGATGGACACATGAGACTGCAGCTCTCCTTACATTCTTGCTCATTTATTTCTATTTTTCTACTCAAATAAGAGGAGATGGAAGGTTATACAGTCACAGAAAAAAGCATCAAGGTGAAGCTCAGGCTTGAAGAGCATATCACACAGCTCCACTTAGCCTGTACTCTGAATGGTGACTGTCAGTTAAGTTCAGGAAATGAAATGCCTCAACCCAATTAAACTGTTCAAACCAATGCTCTGTAGTGACACAAATCAACCAGATACAGATATTTTACTTTTCTAATAATTCATTTCTTAAAGTAAACAGCAGCTTGTCCCCCACACACTGTGTCAATGGAGTACAGAACAAAATTCATCTCCAAAAGTGAATAAGCACAAATATGAGTAAGCAAAAATAGCTTAGAAAAAGAGCTGTCCTCTTCTCTTTGTAACTTAGATCTTGAGCACTGAATGGTGAACTTTCCAACATGCAAAGCAATTGATAATTTCAGTTAGAGAGAACAAGTGTGCTGAAGACTGATTACATTATCTCCCTGTGAAGGGAATATGCAGTTGCTTACCCCAACTTTGAAAATCCCAGTGAAGCTCTAGATAGAAGTCACCTAGCTGAGATGAAAAGAACAACATATTAACAAGTTTTTCAGGCTAAATGACAAGTATAAAACCTGCTGACAGGCAGGAGCTGGGCTTTGCTGGCAAAGAAAACTTTCTCTAACATCACTATTTGAACTGATACTGAAAAGCATTTCTGAAGCTCCGGCTAGACTAGAGTCAATGCTAACATTTCACAACTCATTTGAACCACCCTTTAAAAAAAATAATTTACACAGCTATTAAGTAGTGGATTGTAAAAGATTTATTGCAAATATGTGTTTAAAAGAAGATCTATGGACCTCTGCTTGCTTTGACTGATCACATCAAACCCCATGGAATTACATGCTCTGGCTTACATTAACAAGCCAAGTATCAGCTAGGAGTATTCACATATGCAAATCTCAGTCTGCCTTCTGGAACCATGCTGAATTCATTATATAAAAGCTCTACCTCCATAAACACCTGCCAGCCAACTCCTTTACACTGTATGCAAAGCAAAAGCAAAGGAAGGGGTGGCTTGATTAAAATTAGCAAATGTTGGTAGTACACTGAGGTAGCCACATAATTCCACTCCATGCAACTCCGGAACAGGTCTTGCTCCAGAAGGAATAAGGAATGGCTGAGCTGTTTGGTTAAGGCTGCATCTGCTTTCTGCCTGCTCTTATGCAAAACCTGAAAGCTTTTCACTCCTAGACAGACAGCAGGTTTGGTTTTTTCTTGGATGAATGAAACTGGCAGAGCATATTCATAGAGCATATCACAGATGCAGTTTCACTTAACTTTTAAGATGCACGGGTTCATTAACTTAAGACAAACTGCTGGTTTTCTATAAACCCATTCACATATTACCGTGAGTAGGCACGAGCAGCTCACCCCACCTAAACAGAAATAAACACCTGTAAAAAGTCCCTCTCCAGATTTCTTGGTGGCATTATTCACCCAAACAAAAGATTTTGGAAAGCCTTAAAAATCTAATGAAATAAATACAGATTAAGAATACAGCCTTTAACTTTTGGATTGCAAAGACCAGAGGCCTGTCCTACACAAACCTTTTATTGGAACTTTCAGAAGCTGAGAAGGCTTTCAGCAACCTGCTCTAGTGGAAAGTGACCCTGCCTGTGGCAGGGGCTGGAACTGGAGGAGCTCTAAGGTCCTTTCCAACCCAAACCACTCTGTGATTCTATGATCTCTTTTGTCAGCACAACTGCCTTGACCTTACCTCTTTCAGGGCTTTTAATAATCGAGGTCTCTTTTCTTCAACACTTTCCCTGGACTGCTGTTTGAGCTTCCTTAGGAGTGCTGAAACTAAACAGAAATTAACTATCAGGTAAATCTGTTCCATGGTTTTGTTGGTTTATGAAAGGTTGGTGTAATTATTTGACATTTAAAAGAAAAAACAATGCAAAGGTAACGTTTCATCAGACTTTGGAGAAATTAACCTCAAGTTATAGTAATTATACACAGCCTTCTCAGATTACAACAGGAAGAGAAGACTCAATAATTACTTAGAATATGAAGGATACAATCATGTCAAGACTGAGAACACCACTGAAGACCCTGAACAGGTCTTTGACATGCACATTACTAAACATGTGATACACATGTATTATTGAACGTGAGCCTACAGATTCCATGAGATCTACTCCACTGAGGAACTCCTTTAGTAGTGAAGAGCTGACATGCAGAATGTTCGTAGTATATTACAAACTAGTGCATTAATATAGTAATAGATCTGATTTTTCTGCTATGGGACATGGTAATGCATAATACTATGAACATCCACTAGTGAGTAGCATTAAAATAGTTTTCTCTTTACTACTTCATATCTGGAGTAAGTAATCACTGTATTTGCCCACTGGCCTGTTGAGATGCAACATGAAAGAATATCCCATTGCCAACTGATATATCTGATATATATCTCCATATAACTGATACATATGATCACATGAAGCAGTTCTAATTGAATGATCCCATACAGCTAAAATCCATTCTGACCTTGTAACTCCAATTTTAAATACAGAATCCTGCTTTATAGCTTCTACAATCACTTCAAGCAAAATCTTTACTTAGCATTATGTATCCTAATGCAGGATCTTTCTTATCAAGGAAACGGACATGTGCAGAGCTTGTCATATCATATTTAGAGAAAATATTAAGACAAACTCTTCAGAGAACTAAAATAGGCATATTTATTAAAAAAAATAGCTTGAAAACCTGTTTTCCTGTTCTGAATAAGGCCTTAATAGGGAAGCAGGGGCTCTTACTCATTTGTCTGTCTCCATAGCTGATGGCTTCTGCAAGAGGGCTCCATCCCTGAGCATTTTTCACCTTTACTGGAGCATTATGGGCTAATAGCAAGTGGGCACATTCTGTAACAAAAAAGTAATCATTATTTGCAATAAACATCAAGGATGTAGCAATATCACTCATAATAAAGGGAACAATAATAAAGCAAAAGTAAGATATTCAACATATAAAACAGTTTATCAAAGTATATATCTGGATCCTGAGTCAAACTATAGACAAATAAAACCCATTTATGTATTTATAGCACTTCCCTGGTAAACACTGGCACTAAAAATATAATTAGTGATTAATCACCAATTACACAACTACTGAAGAAACATCCCTTCTGCTTCTTGTGTTTTGCTTTTTATGAAGCTGTATGTCTGTATGTGTACAGAGACACAAAACTATGTAACAAATACTTCTCAAATATTACATCAGCTCTACTCAATGCACAAATCCACGCACCAAGACATGCTTCGTAAGTCTTCCACACGTGGAAGCTGTGCACATGCTTCCCCCTCCTCTCCATCTCAACCCCCTTCACCCAAAGGTCAATGGTAAACTGGTTTGCTAGAAATCTGCATGAAGATGTAGACTTAAGTAAGTCCCGAGAACTACATGTGTATGGGCAGCAGAGGAAGCTGTGGCACTAACACATCACTGCATGTTGGGACATCCTGTGGCATCTGAAGTGAGCAAACAAGCGCACTGACCAAGGAAAGCTTCAGAGCATGTGCGCGATCGGCTGTACAACAACTAACAGGTACTGCAGGACTGACAACATGGGTATCTGGAGCACACAGACCACAGTCCTGTGCTCCATCAATGGACAGACACACCTGCAATGTGCTCCATTTCTCGCCAGCATCACCAGTAACAGCGAGCACCAGGGCTAACCCTGAGACTCAGCATGCACATGTTGTGCTGATAAAATAACTTCCACATGTCATCAAAGCCACACACACACACTCCTAGTGGGCACACAGCTCAACCTGCATTCCCTTCTCTGTCTACAGGTAAAAGGTGGTGGAATAACAAGCAGTCCTTAAAATTAGGGAGCACAGAAAGCTTTTGTTGTTTCCACGTTTTGAATAAGCTGTCTTCATATGAAACCGTTCTTCAGTTTCCAGCTACAGAAAGTTTCTTCACCACATCTCATTAAAATCAACCTGACCCATCTGCAAATGACAGAGCAGTACAAGCTGGAGCTGCAGGCTGGAGAAATGTCTCGTTATAGGATGGCCAGGCAGGATGGATAGAGGAACTTCCTGGATTATTCTCCTGCTCTAGGTGTTACAGGAAACAATACCAGTCATTCCAGATGCACCAGTTATGAGTCACCAGCAAGCACAGTGTTTGGGAAGGAAGAGATACCTCACTGGTGAATATACTATCTTCTGTGGTAAATAAACAAAAGCCCTGACTACTCTGTCAGCACAAACAGAGATGTATTTTTATGGTTGCTTAAATATAGTGCCAAATGCAGTAACAGCACTGCACAGCGAGCAGGCTAATAAGCCTGCACTTAACCAGCCAGGTTACACTGCAGTTAAATAAACAGGATGTAAATTCCCCCTGCCCTTCAGAAAACCCCGGCTATAACGCTGCTACACAGCTGAAAAACCTATATGCATCACCTGGAAAGAAAGAAAATTGGCTCTCAATATCAATGAGACAGATCAATAAAGTAGGAAAGGACCCAGGGCTCTTGCTGATCAACAGCTACACAGGATTTGAAGTCAAAACAGTAAAAGCAGGAATTGTGCTGGATGCTGTGCACAAACAGCCCTGCTCTAGGCAAGCTACACAGAGGCTTGCCACAAGCATCCTAAGGGATGTAGGGCTTTACCCACAGGATGACTGACTACATGGAAAGAGGCCAAGAGGTGAACTGCAAACTGAAATCTAAAATACGCAGTCAAGGAGAACAGGAGAAGAGGGAAGAAATGGCTCTCTTTGCTGTGCTCTACATGAGGATAACTCACTGAAGGAACCTGTCTGCACTGAACAGATTGCTCTTTATCCTAGAGCTGAAACATAAAGTAACCAAAATATAAGAGAGACTTAGAATAAATATTCAGCCACACTGAATTAAAGTTGGCAAATGCTTTTCTACCAGTTTTATTAGAAGCATCTAGGATCAAGAATTGTTTGTATTCATTACTGTGGTATGACACTCTTGTAGCTATATGGAATGTGTCCCTTCATGACAGCTCATCACCTTTTAACCAAAACCACTCAACCTCTTCTACACCTAATGACCGTGACAAACTGAAGCCTGAAACACGCACACTGCTGGTCACCACTGCCTGACAACACAGAGCAGTTACAGAACTAAAATGCACCTTACAAAGAAAAATGCCTTATGTATGGCTGAGAAATGAAAAGAGGCTTCTGTCTCTGTTTCCTTCTGTTGACCCAAGCCTCTAGCATAGGACCCTCACTGGAAAAAAGCAATTCTGACGAAGCCCCATTTTTCACTGAGAAAAGCTCCTATCTGTGATTTGTAAAACATATTTGCCTCACTGCTGTCACAAAAAGTGTCTGCATAGCTTCTTTTTCTTCCCTTTTTTACCCATTTATTTTAAAAGTACCCCAGCCTGGACCACTATCAGCAGATTCCAGCAAGCTCTACTGCCTCTTCTTCTGCATATGCCACCTCTTCCCTTCTTCCTTCAAAGTCACTTCCTGCTCTAGCTCTCAGTTATCTTGCATCACTTCATAGGTGCTTCCAAAACGTCCTAAGACAACTTACTGCACTTCCTGTTCCCCTCTCCGAAACTGCCAGGTGTGTTGTTCACAGCAGCTCTCTCATGGAGCAGTACCACGTACCAGGCACAGGACTCACAGGGCTGAATGGCACCAAGCCATCCCTGCTGCAGCAGTGACAGTTTACTGCCACAGACACCGAACAATCATATTCCAGGGTTCTTCCCAGTCTTGAGACATGTCTACATCTATACTTCCCACTTGAAGTAGAAATATAAATCCTGTGCTCTGAAATTCCGCTGTAAAGAACTCCTTGAAGGGAACTTGGAAAACTGGGAGCCATGGAGAATCAACAGTCCTGCACCTGTCCCATGCCCCTTACAGGGCTGTTTGACACCTGAAGGGACAGCTAGGCACTGAGTCAGGAATTCCAACCCAGTGAGTGAGGGAGTATGCAAAATGCAGGTGAGAGGTTCCATTTCCAGTCAGAGAGTCATTTTATTCTAGAGGATGTTACTGTGATTCACTTCACTGGGAAAGAGCAAAATGGGGTTATTAGACACCTCTAGTGAGCAGCTCAGCAACACACAGTGACACTAATAACCAGAACAGCACTGACTAAAAGAAAGGGTATCACCCCACAAACAGGTATTAGTAACCCTTCCATGCATGAATTAATTGCAGAGTAAGATAGAGATCTGCCTGGATCAAGTCCTCTGCCTACACATCCTGAGTACATCCCTCCACTTCAGCTGCTCGGGTAGGAAAGGGGAAGCAGGCATGCAGATGTTTGCCCCTGCTTTGAGCTGTTTCTCAATCTTCTACCATGTTCCAAATGTCCCAATTTCCTCCTGACTCTGCAAGAAGAGAGGAGCTGGGTCCACCCACTGCTGTTGTTCTAGTCTCACAGAGTCCAACAGCTCCAGCTCCTTTCCACTGTACTCCATTCACTACCAGGCTGCTGGATCTTGGCCTGAAGAACAGCTCTAACCTCATCTCCAACTTTTCCCTTGTAAATTCATGTGGTGGCTTCTTTTCAGAAAACGTCAGCCTTCAACCAGAAACACAAGATCATGTGCAGGAAAAATGAAAAAACCTTTTTTTTTCCTGCCACCAGGTCTCTGAGATAACTTAAAAGCAACAAAATTCATGTTTTACCTACCTTTATGTCCCAGCATCACAGCAAGATGTAACGGAGTGTTTCCTAAAATAAATAATGAAATAAAAAGACGTTAGAGTCAAGATCATAGAACCCCAGCCTGGTTTGTGCTGGAAGGGACCTTAAAGCTCCTCCAGCTCCAACCCCTGCCACAGGCAGGGACCCCTTCCACTGGAGCAGCTTGCTCCAAGCCCCTGTGTCCAACCTGGCCTTGAGCACTGCCAGGGATGGGGCAGCCACAGCTTCTCTGGGCACCCTGTGCCAGCGCCTCAGCACCCTCACAGGGAAGAGCTTCTGCCTAAGAGCTCAGCTCAGTCTCCCCTCGGGCAGGTTCAAGCCATTCCCCTTGGCCTGTCCCTACAGGCCCTTGTCCCAAGCCCCTCTCCAGCTTTCCTGCAGCCCCTTTAGGCACTGGAGCTGCTCTAAGGTCTCCCCTTCAGGAGCCTTCTCTTCTCCAGGCTGCCCCAGCCCAGCTCTCTCAGCCTGGCTCCAGAGCAGAGCTGCTCCAGCCCTCGCAGCATCTCCATGGCCTCCTCTCCACTCACTCCAACAGCTCCACGTCCCTCTTGTGCTGCTGCCCCAGAGCTGGATCAGGGCTGCAGAGGGGGTCTCCCCAGAGCACAGCAGAGGGGCAGGATCCCCTCCCTGAGCTGCTGCTCACGCTCTGGGGGTGCAGCACAGCACATGGGGGGTTCTGGGCTTAAGCACACACTGAAGTCGGATCACAGGAAGCTTCTCATTGACCAATGCCCCCAAGTCCTTCTCCTTATGGATGCTCCACCCAGTTTCCTCCAGCCTGGGCCTGTGCTGGGGATCGCCCCAACTCAGGAGCAGGCTTTTGAACTTGTAAAACTCCATGAATCCATTGCAGTTCCTTCAGGTATCTGCACACAGAACTCAAGCATGTTAAGAAACCTGTTACATGATCCATCCACGGAATACTCTACAATACACCAAAACAGTTGCACTCTTCTGAGCAAGCATTTGGATTATACTTGTTAGAATAAATATATCCAAAACACATTTCATGGACCAAAGGAGATTTTTTTGGAGTGACGTCTTGAAACTTATGCTGGCCAAAGAGGCCCAATTGTACCTTCAAGAGAGAGATAACACAAACCTCTATGCTTATTATGGTCTGAAAAGTCTGATACCTCACAAAGAATGACATATCTAGGCTAAAAGCCACTCAAAGATATGATGCTGATTAAAATTTTAAGAGCCTATTTTATTAATTTTTCATAGTTGTAATACAAAATTTTCACTAATACAATATTGGACAGATTGTGAACTAACAGCAACTTCCCTACAAAAGCCCTTTTTGGTTGTTTCGGTGCCTTCTTTCCAAAGAAAGCTTCCGAGATTACCAGCAGATATTACAAACATGAGCTTGTTTTCCTGGCTATGCATATGACACATTCTGTACTTCTGCTATTAAATATGCACTGTGAGGTACAGAGGGTTGATTTTCTGGATCAGTGATGCTACCAGAATTCTGGCACATTTTATTGATGTAGCTTGTATTTAACTGTGTTGCTCTGTTTAAATATATAAATATTTTCTTAGTGGAGTTAAGAGAAAAATCACTGGAAAAGCAGTCATTTGTAACTACATCAAATGCACTTGATTTCAGGGTTATTTTCCAGCATCATGTTAACTGTAAGTACTTGCTACATGTAAAGGGCGATGTACTGTACACCTAAAAGATGCAATCCAAGAACTGAGAGGCTTCTATATGAAGTAACTGCCAGCATATCATAGTATCATGAAATGTCTGATCAAGACAGGCAAGCAAAGGCAGGTTCCAAGTAGTTTTGTATGAGCTATTCAACACAAAGTACCAATGATTCTTGTGGGTCACTACCAACATCACAAACAGCTCCAGCCTAGTTCATTATGCACACTCTGAGCTAACCTCAAATTGCCTATTAATAGATTTCACCACATCTCTGAGCCAAGGCAGAATGCAGAATACCGGATGCAGCCACTCTTTGTTAAGTGATTGAAATAACGTTATTGAGGAACAGACCTGAGAAGGAGCCAAACCATGTGCTCAGAAACTTCAAATTATGGAAGCCAGGGGTAAACATCTTCCTCACCTTATCAAGCACTTCAGTGGGGGATATATACACACACACACACACAAATATATATGCATGCATGTGCTTGTGTATGCTGAGGCGCTGGCACAGGGTGCCCAGAGAAGCTGTGGTTGCCCCATCCCTGGCAGTGCTCAAGGCCAGGTTGGACACAGGGGCTTGGAGCAAGCTGCTCCAGTGGAAGGGGTCCCTGCCCATGGCAGGGGTTGGAGCTGGAGGAGCTTTAAGGTCCCTTCCAACCCAAACCAGGCTGGGTTGTATGTATATGTTCTATGTATATATAAAAATAGCTCTGCACTAAGTTTTCTCTTACATCAATACACCTTAAAATTAAAAACCCACCCCACATTTCAAAGGGTGGATAGAAAAGAGCCAGACAGCTCCACCAGCTATGACAGCATGGTGTAATGGCAAGAAACACCAAACCCAAAGCTAACCAGGCCCCTGACAGCTTTCCTGGGAACTCTGTCAGATCTCATTCAGCCCATAAGCAGAAAGTGCAGCTGGGCAATAGCACACATCATTTCAAAACTCCTCTGGACCCAGTTCTGAGGAACCTGATCTAACTCAGCTGTTATCTCTGTTTTGTGCAGGAGGCTGGACTAGATCTCCTTCTGAGCAACCTGATCTAACTCCAGTGTTATCTCTACTTTGAGCAGCAGGCTGGACCAGCCCACCTCCAGAGAGCTCTTCCAGCATAGTTCTTCTTTGATTCAATGTTCTTTCAAAGTACGCAATTCAGAAAGTAGACAGGGAATCTGGATAGAGCAGATGAGGGGGAGGAAGAGCAGCAGGCAGAAAACCAGGCAGTGCAATAACTGATAAAGTACAGAAAGTGGAACCTGTCAATTCCAGAAGGAATAAAAATATAAAAAGCTACTTATGAGAAACCTGAAAAGAGGTGACATCCTGCTTGCTGGTCTTCAGCCAGAATGTCCCTGGCAAGGAGAAGTCTGAGGTTTAACAGTGAGGTAACATAAGAGGTCAGCTGAGGTACCAAAGGGAGAGGAGCACAATAACAGGTAAGCCAGGAAAGCTCCTTTAGAAAAGGGGTTCAGGAAGATAAACACACAGAAAAGGGACATGATGAAACTTCTCATTGCCCTGATAAACTCCCCTCCAGACAGCCCTCCATCTGGACCAGCCAAGCTCAGCAAGCACGGGCACAACAGTGTGTGGCTGCTCTGGAGAGCCTGGTGGCAGGACTGTGGATGGGGTGGTCTAACAACACACACGCAGCACACCAAACCCTGTAAGCTCTGCAGTAATCTCACACAGATTTCTATTCCATCAAAACTCCACAGCTACTTCAGAAGAGAACCTCCCTGATCAAAAGAAAGCGGTCTCAACAACAGCTAAGACATACTGCTAGCTTTGGGCACCCAAAAGTCAAACCCGGAATGGCATTTTGCACAGCTCCACCACTAATCATCCATCTGATAGATCTGGGTAAGTCTTGATGCTCTTTGGGCCAAACAAAGTGAGGTTTACCAGCAGCAAATTTAACTCTGACTTATCAAAATAAGCCATCTAAACTGTGCAAGGCTGTATGAGAAATTACAGTTGAGGAATCCCTCAACTCATAGATTTCTCCCAGCAGGAGAAAGGGAAGAGCTGTTCAAGCAGACAGCAGCCAAAAACATTCCACACATTTAATCTCAGAAACCTGGCTGGCTCACAGACACAACGGGACAAGTTAACTTCTACTGCTTCAGGAGAGATGGAATCTGAAGGTGTAAACCCAATTCCAGCAGCTGCTGAAAGAGAGACCCACTATCATGATGCATAAAGACCCAGACTGATAAATTAATCAGGACCAGTGTTTACAGAGCTCAAAGGAAACCACTCCAGTGGAATTCTATTGCACTGCAAACTCAGGATCCTAAAATACAAATGATTATGGCAAGAACAGCATCAGCTCCTCTAGATGTAGCCAGAGCACAGAGAATCATTCTAGGTAACATGAGTCTGATGAAAACACACGGTGAGCTTTAACACCACTCCATTTTTCCCAGCCAGTGCATAGCACAAGTAGGCATTTCTGGCAGGACAGGCACGAGTGTGGCAGGGGCAGTTTCACTTCTTCCAGTTGCACAGGAGGAGGTTTTCCAAGAACCCCAGCCCAAGCCACACCAGTCAACGTTAGATTCCATAAAAACAAGGAGCTTTATACAAGACGGCTGCTGGAGAGGAAGAGGAGGGTGCAAAGATACAACTGTGTGCTTCACCTCTTAGAGGTGAAATAAAGAGGGCACTCTAATGAAGCGGCTGATGCGTCATTTTGATTACTTCCGTGCAATTTAATCATAATGACAACGTGTTTGATACAATCACTTGCAGACACCGACTGGAACGTGAATGGGCACATACTTGAGCAGCTGCAATCAGATTCATTATCTTTTGGCAACAGCTTGAGCCACCACATAAACAAATCTCATGTTTCCTTTCCATCTAAGGACGACTTCATCGACATCTATAGCTTTGGGAAATGAGCTTGTACACTTCCCTCCCCGAGTCACTGAGCCTCCAGGGCCTTATTCTGAGAAAGCAGTGATACAACAGTGCCTGAAATCCTACACATGCATTCCAGGGCAGGCAAACAAAACCCATTTGCACAAAAAGACACATAAAATACAGCACTTGTCTGCACGTGTTTGCAGCTTTTAACTTTTTGTGAGGCATCTGGCACACCTACAAAGGAGCTCAGCCTGTTTTCCAAGAGTAATTCAGCAAGATGATTTGGCTATTCCAAAATACAACATGGTTTCATTCTGAGTATGTGTTAAAGTTCTTAAATGCATATTATAGTACAAGTAATCTAAAAGGGATACAGACAAGCTTCTCCACAGAAACTCATTGGTTTTGGAACAATGATGCTGGCATTCCAGTGAGTAATGGTTTTTGAGGTCAATTTAGAGTGAGTGAGGCTGCACGCCATTTACAGTCACAACCATCAGCTGTTTTATCTCAACACCAAGAGTTTAACACTACACAACTTGGGTTTTCTGCACTTAACCACACTAAAAATGGGACTGAACTATAAACACTGTTACGAGCAGTTCTTTTTCCCCTCTCTCACTTCCTTAACATGCACTGGGATTCTTCTGGCTTATTTCTGAGTATAGTATCTACCCCAAATAACGCACGATTCAGATGCGTAAACAAGTGACGGATGGATTCAAGCAGAAGGAAAACAGTAACAAGGAAATATTAGTCAGGCCTTTGGTATGCCAGGACATTAAGGAGTTTGTTATTGGGATTTATCTGAAAGCTTAATAGTAAAGAAATGCTTAAAGTAAAAACTTGGAGGAGGATAATGAGACAGAAATCCCCAAAGCACTGCTACTGAGAAAGCAGATATTCATTTGAAATGTATATATATATATATACATGGTGCATATATATATTTTAAAAAAGGATAGGATCAGTGTTTGTGATAGACATTCAAGATGAGAATGCAGCAAAGATGGATCAAGTAAAGATGTTAAACTTGTGATGATGAGTTACTTGACAAGGAACTGGAGGAGGTGTAGGGGAGAAGTCAGCAGAAGGAATACACTAAGTGAGAGAATTTCTTCCCCAGTCTGCTGCTTTCATTCTCCTGGTATTTGCTGCAGCCTTTGGAATGAAGATGACAGGATAAATATATCTGTAGCTATATTTACAGCAACGTACTCAGAAAAATGTTATGACAGTTGGAAGAAATACTCCTCCCTGCCTTGATTGAGGAAACTGAGCTGTGTATTCCTCCACATACATCAGTCTGTGTTTCAGAGTGCCCAAAGTTATCATGGGCATAGCTTTTAATTTCTAATCAAGCTGTTCTTCCCATTGTGCCAATCCGAAAGGGGGTTCTACCTTAATGTTCCTTTTTACATAAGACAATTAAGTAAAACAAAGGGAACATTTATCCCTTAATCAGAAAAGGAACATAACTGCACCCTGTAATCACAACTTCCCAGACACCACACAAAGGATAACTTAGCATTCTTCAGCACAATGATGTTACTCTTAAAATGGGTAGGAAACCTAGAGATGAAAAACATGAAACTTAACCTGACTTGACAGGTTGATTTAGTATTTTTAAATGTAAAATATTTCCCAAATTAAATGTACAGATGCCACATCCCTGGCAGTGCTCAAGGCCAGGATGGAAGGGGCTTGGAGCAAGCTGCTCTAGGGGAAGGTGTCCCTGCCTACAGCAGGGGGCTGGAACTGGATGACCCTTAAGGTCCCTTCCAACCCAAACCAGGCTGGGATTCTCTGATATTACTTTAAGATGTCCTAGCAGGATTTAAATAGAATCATGGATTGGTTTGGGATGGAAGGGACCTTAAAGATCATTTAGTGAGCTAAACATTTATGCATTAGAGAGCGATATGAGGATCGTATTTCTATCTTTGCTATTGCCACTTCTGTGTCCAGACCCAGCTTGGAGGAGAACAGAGAACAAGATTTTGTCTCTCTCAAACCCCTGAACTAAAACACTTAAAGAGGAAAAAGAAAGCTCTGGGTTTTTACACCGGGAAAAAAACAAAGCAAGTTCCAACAACAGCCAAAGGAGCCACCCATTGAGGAGGCTCAGAACCTCCAAAACCAAACAGGCGACGCTTCAGACATTTGGAAAATATAGTATTTCTTTTCGTTAAATGAAGTAGGCTTTAGGACGCGAGGCAGAGCCGGTCAGAGGAAGCTCTCCCACCATTCCACTGTCACAAAAGCTAATACCATGCTCGCTCCTATCGCCAAAACCCCAGGGATTTTGCCCAGAGCTGTGGCTGCCCCATCCCTGGCAGTGCTCAAGGCCAGGTTGGACACAGGGGCTTGGAGCAAGCTGCTCCAGTGGAAGGGGTCCCTGCCCGTGGCAGGGGTTGGAGCTGGAGGAGCTTTAAGGCTCAACCCAAACCATTCTACGGCTCTATGCTTCCCAAGCGTGCAGCCGCGCTCCTCCGCAGCCCAGCGGCGCGGCCCTGGCGCCCCACACCCGGCAGAGCAGCGGGAAGGGGCCGCGGAGCTCCCACAGCACGGCCGCCACCCCCTCCCCGGCCCGGCGGCCGCTCACCGTGACTGTCCTTCTGCCCGATGCCCTGGGTGCGGATGAGGGCCGAGAGCCGCCTCACGTCCCCCTTGAAGACGCACTCGTGCACCGGGAAGTGAGCCGGGCACTTGTCGGGCTCGGCAGAGGGGCCCGTCCCGCCGGCTGCCGGGCCCCCCTTCAGCGGCAGCCGGTGGTGGTGGTTGCTGAAGATGCGGTGGCCGCCGGCCCGGCCGCCCTTCCCACTGCTCCCGCGGCCGCCGGTGAAGATGCCCCCGGGCGCGGCGGCCGCCTCCTCTTCGCCGGGCGCCAGCAGGTCCCCGTCCTCCTTACTGGGCTTATGGTCCCTGCGCAGCGAGCGCAGCTTCTCTCCGGTCATCGCCAGCGGCCGCCCCACCACCGGCAGGGCCCCGCCAAGAAGGCTCGCCGCAGCCCGGGGGGTGTCGATCGCTCAGAGCCGCGGCGGCGCGCCCGGTCCCGTCCGCATCCCCCGCCAGCAGCGCCCGGAGCCCGCCCGGCCGCAGGGTCCCGCTCAGCAGCCCGGCGCCGCCGCCATCTTGGTAGCTTGATCCCGCGAGAAGCGCAGCACGAGGCGAGACTGCCGCGGACACCGCGAGACTGCGCGGACAGCGGGAAGCGGCGGCTGAGGAGGGGGCTGAGGAGGCGCCCCCGGTACCGCCCCCCGGTGCCGCCCCCGGTGCCGCCCCCGGTGCCGCCCCTCGCCGCGCTCGCCTCACCTCGGCTCGGCGGGGCCACGAGAGGTCGGCGTGCTGGTAACCAGGCCTTCAGCCGGTACAGGAGCCCGCGAGCACCCGCTGGTGGCCGCTGTTGCTGAGGTGAAGGCTGAGCCAAACCTTGGAACCCCGCCGGCAGCCACCGCGCTGGCTCTTTGGCTCCGGGCTCGGGTGCATCCTTCGTAGGGATTTACGGACACGCTCGTATATTTGCGCTAAGAATATATCTGTAATCTCCAGGGGGACGTCTGTCATTGCCTGATGGGTGCAGAGAGCGGGAACACCCTGTGGGGCAGGCAGCTTGCTGTTCTCCTATGGGGTCACTGCACTGCCTAGGGGGCTGTGCCTTCCCACAGGCCTTATTTCCCTATCTTTGGAACACTACAGCACCTATGGCACAGGCTGTGGCCGTTCGGAAGTACTCTTGGCTGACCAGGACTGCCGAGGGGAAGAAGCACCGTGTCCGGTGCTGCATACTGTGAGGGATGGCTCCAGAGCCTCAGCCTGTGGCAAGAATCTGCTGCGATGACTCCTACGGATTCCTCTCAGAATCATTTGTGAAGTGGCCAAGTGGATCCAGGAGTGCCTTGGCCTGAGGCTCAGTTATACAAGTGTAGAAATGACAGTGCATGTTCTGGTCGGTGCTGCGTGCCAGAGGTGTAAACAAACCACACAGCAGTGAAATAAACGAGATGAGCCAATGCCGCTTGTTTGCTGAGAGAACAGAAGCTTTGGGTCACTTCCCAGATCATGAAACATCAATGGATTTCACAAGGTGACCTCAAGTCAGCAATTGGGCATCATCTCCAGTGCTCCTTCAGTGAACCTCTGTGTGAGCTGAGGAAAAGAAATGGGCTGCTAATGCTGTTCTGAACAAAACACTGCCCTATTCACCCATTTCCCTTGTTTGTGGGGGTATTTCAGTCGCTGAGAGAGGGAAAGAGAAGGTGAAGACCCACCATGATCCATGACAATGAAACAAGAAGTTATCTGGAGAATGATGACACCTGCACAAATTGCTTTCCTCAAAAGCACGCACAGGAAAAGGGAAAGGTAAGGCAGTCATCCTGTCTGTGTAGATGTGTTATCATCTCATAAAGTAACTGCATTAGGTTCAGAGTTCCCCAAGTTCCCTGCAGCAACTCCTTCAGTGCTACTCCTGCAGGTATTGGCTTAATAGTGGGATGAATCATGAAAACATAAGGACGTGTCACAATCCAGGTAAACTGGATTCTTTTACTAGCACTTCCAGGAGAAAGAGCCCACGCCTTGTCAGCAAGATTAGATAACAGATAAAAAACTACTCTGAGTGACCTTTTTCTTCACCTGATTTGCATCATCTCCTCTCTTACCAAGCAGCTAAGGAGAGTTCTAGGCAGAGATGGAACTATGAAATCCAGTTTCTGTGCCTGCTGTCTTCACAGTGATAGCACAGCTGCTTCCCACATGGATATTTACAATTTTAAATGATTATAGGGGAAAAAAAGTCACCTTTGTCCATACTCCATTGGTCTTTCTGACAAGACTCTTGTATCTTCTTGTTTGTAGAGAAAACTTAAGGCCCACCAACAAACAGAATTTGAGAGGTTGGCACCACGGGCAAAGCTGTCTCTTGTTCCGTGCTCAGGTGCTGCACAAGAGGCTGTTTGCCCCAGTGCTGGAGACGTGCACGGTGCAGAGCCAGTCTTAGAATCACAGAATCCCAGACTGGTTTGGGTTGAAGGGACCTTAAATCCCATCCAGCTCCAACCCCTCCCACGGGCAGGGACCCCTTCCACTGGAGCAGCTTGCTCCAAGCCCCTGTGTCCAACCTGGCCTTGAACACTGCCAGGGGTGGGGCAGCCACAGCTTCTCTGGGCACCCTGTGCCAGCGCCTCACAGGGAAGAGCTTCTGCCTAAGAGCTCAGCTCAGTCTCCCCTTTGGCAGGTTGAAGCCATTCTCCTTGTCCTGTCCATACAAGCCCTTGCCCAAAGCCCCTCTCCAGGTTTCTTGGAGCCCCTTTAGACACTGGGAGCTGCTCTAAGGTCTCCCCTTCAGGAGCCTTCTCCAGCCCTCACAGCATCTCCACAGCCTTCTCTGCAGTTGCTCCAAAAGCTCCATGTCCCTCTTGTGCTGTTGCCCCAGATTGCAAGGGGGGTCCCCTGAGTGCAGCAGAGAGGAAGAATCCCCTCCCTCAACCTGCTGCTCATGCTCCTGTGGAAGAGATGCAGGAACTCAGGTGATGTTGGAAACTTCACGTTGCATTTTTAATTACTGAAGGCCAGCTAAGAGGAGGCAGAGGCATGAAGTCACTGTTTACCAGCTTATTATGGAGTCCCTTGTTCAGTGCAGAAATATAATGGATGCATTACTAATGGGAACTGCTCTGTGAAAACCAGCGTTTGTGGCAAAGCTGTGCTGTGCCTTCAACTTTGTGAGAGTATTTGGGGTCTTTTTAACATCTAATAATTAAACTTTTGTCTTGTTTATATTCTCCATCTTCTTAAATTACTTAAATTGCCCTCAGACACTAGGCAATTCAGCAGAAAGTAGCAGGATCAGGTATTGTGGCAACGTGGAGCTGCATTTTCTGGGCTTTGACTCTATGGAAAATTTGCTTGTGCAATTGCTCAAGTGGGAAATAAGTAGTGGAGGAGTAATTTCCAATGGGTGTGTTACTCCAGGAAGTATGCTGATGTTTTTAGTATGTAAAGGAATAGGTAAAAAAACTGGAGAGGAATAAAAACCTAAATTTGTTCAAAACCCAAAGGTAGGCAGTAATTGAAAATGACAAGTGTCTGTCTGCCTTTATCCTTGCTGGGAGGGTAACTGCAGCATTTAAAGTCATGAAGAGTAACTAACAGAGTACTGAAAGCTCCTTAGTGTAGAGGGATGCGCTCTGGTTGCCTTTCTGCTTACTTCCAGAAGGCGAAACAAAAAGAAATGAGGTCCTGGAGGATGGTGAATGGAATTTCCCGGCTGTGGAGAAATTAACTTCTGCTTCTCGCTGGCATTCAGAATGGCTGGCAGGAGAGATGCTGGATAGCAGTTGTCTTAAAGAGTGGCAGGATATTCAGGTGAATTAAACTGAACAGGAAAAAGTAGGTGAGGAGTTTTAAGACATCATAGCCTCAGTGGGGAGCTTCTCCTCACCTAACACCCCAAGTCCTTCTCCTCAGGGATGCTCCATCCAGTCTCCCCCAGCCTGTGTTTGTGCTGGGGATTGCCCCAACGCAGGGACAGGACCTTGCCCTTGGCCTTGTTGAACTCCAGGAGGTTCCCACTGTCCAGGTCCCTCTGGATTTGTGCAGATGTTCTTCACAGTGTGCAGGAAAGGGATTTGTCACACAGGATTAAATCCCTCTGCCCCGAGTGTCAGTGTTCCCACTCGCACGTATCCCGGTTCAGGTTGTGTGACCTCGCTGCACCCCCTGCGTGTGTCAGGCTGAAGCCCTGCGGCGCAGGGCCGGCAGGAGCCCGTTCACTCCCCGGGATCACCGGTGGGGTCACCGGCCGCCATCCCTGTCCCCAGAGCCGCACCAGCCGGGCAGCCTCTCACAGCCGGGCACGGCTGCACCCGAGGCCGGAGCCCTCTGCGCGCTGCCCGCCCTGCCCGGGCCCGAGCGGCGGCGCCCCCCGGCGGGCGGGCGGCTCCGCACCGGAAGGCGCTCCCCTCCCGGCGGCGCGGGAGCTAACCGGTCCCGCCCCGCCCTTCCCCGCCGCAGCCAATGGGAGGCGGCGGTGAGGCCCCGCCCGCGCCGGGCCCCTGGTGGCGTGGGGAGTGTGGTGCCGGCGTCGGTCCCTGGGGCGCGGCGGCGGCGGCGGCGGCGGTGGTGGTGTCCGGAGCGCAGCCATGGAGCGCGGCGGGGCCCGGGACTTCCTGCCGCCGTTCGCGCACTTCGCCACGCAGGCGATTCACGCCGGGCAGGAGCCCGAGCAGTGGAGCTCGGCCGCCGTGGTGCCGCCCATCTCCCTCTCCACCACCTTCAAGCAGCAGGCCCCCGGGCAGCACGCGGTGAGTGCGGCCGGCGGCGGGGCACCGAGGCGGGCTTGTCCTCGCCGGGACGGACCGGGGGGCTGGGAAGGGGAGGCGAGGAGATGGGAAGGGAGGGAAGGGGATGGGGACTCCCGGTGGCAGCACGTGGGAACAGTCCCTTTATTCTCGCTCCTGAGCGACCCTGAGACATCGTTTCCCACGTAGATGTTGGGTGGAGGAAGCTGTAACCGGGCTGTAAGGTTCAGGCGCCGGTCGGATAGTTTCTGTGCGGCTGGGGCTCTCTTGAAGTCTGTGTGATGACAAAACTTTCTGCTGTCCCCAAGCAGAATCCGTTTTCCCAATTACAGCGGTTGTGTAAGAGGCTGCTCCAGTTGTCCTTGCAGAACAAACAAGTGTTTCAGCAGTGTTTTGTGGATAGCATCATAGAATCAGCCAGGTTGGAAAAGACCTGTGTGATCATAAAGTCCAACCTGTTCCCCCAGCATTGTCAAGGCTACCACTAAACCATGTCAAATGGTTTGTATTGTATGGTAGAAAGTGCAGGAAGCACTGGGGTTGAACTATCATGAGGTTTCTGATGGCTGCCACTCAAGGCTGAGGGAGATGGCACAAACCTGCTGTTCACAAACCAGTTTGTTCCAAAGCTGGTGCCTGAACATCACCCTGTGCTGGCTGGGCAATCTGTGTTTGCCTTGTGATCTTTGATTCCACACAGCCACTCGCCTGATGCTGTGAGTGCTTCTAAGTCAGTAGCTGTTTTGAAGAAGACCACAGATGAAGCAGTCACATGCTGCTGTGTCCCTGTACTGACAAGAGCATGGTTGTGCTCCTGCTGGAAGCTCTGTGAGAGCCGTCTGCCAGATTCCTGCATGCAACCGAGTTCTCATTAAGCAGAAGTCCTGAAAGTACACAGATAATAGGACACTTAAGAGTTCCCTCTGTAACACGTGCATCCATACACAGAACACCAGCCTGGTTTGTGTTGGAAGGGACCAGAAATCTCATCCAGTTCCAACCCGTGCTACGAGCAGGGACACCTTCCACTGGAGCAGCTTGCTCCAAGCCCCTCTGTCCAACCTAGCCTTGAGCACTGCCAGGGATGGGGCAGCCACAGCTTCTCTGGGCACCCTGTGCCAGCGCCTCAGCACCCTCACAGGGAAGAGCTTCTGCCTAAGAGCTCAGCTCAGTCTCCCCTTGGGCAGGTTAAAGCCATTCCCCTTGGCCTGTCCCTACAGGCCCTTGTCCCAAGCCCCTCTCCAGGTTTCTTGGGGCCCCTTTAGGCACTGGGAGCTGCTCTCAGGTCTCCCATTCAGGAGCCTTCTCCAGCCCTCGCAGCATCTCCATGGCCTCCTCTGCAGTCGCTCCAAAAGCTTCATGTCCCTCTTGTGCTGTTGCCCCAGAACTGGATCAGGACTGCAAGGGGTGAGTGCAGCAGAGAGGGAGAATCCCCTCCTTCAATCTGCTGCTCATGCTCCTGTGGAAGAGATGCAGGAACTCAGGTTTTAGGTGATGTTGGAAACTGTTCTAAGGTCTCCCCTGCATGAGTTTTTTTTTGTTTCTCATTCAGTTTTCTCAGTCTTCACATGAAAACTGTTGCACTGGAATGTGGAACTTGGTCTGGTTTCATGCCAGGGAAATGTTTGAGCTTTCAAGAACTTTTGATTGGGTACAGGTTGGCGCTGGTCAGTGTAGCATCTTCCAAGCAAAGCATTGTGGCGATGGGACACATTCTTCCTGATAACATAAGAATAAATGGAATCTGTCAGCCTTTTCTCCAGCAGTGACCAGACGTGGATAGCTGGGAAAAAGCAGGAGATGTGGCCAGCAGTGTGGTACTTCCCCCAGCACACCCCTAGAAACCTTTCTCAGATTGGGGATCCCTGATCAGATGTTCTGTACAGCAGCTTGGTGTAGCCAGAAAACCAGCCTGATGGTCTTGGAGGAGGTGGGTGCACAATCTTAGTGCTGAGTGCAAGGGCTTTTTAAGGAACCTAGGACAACTATTGTACACAGCTTTCTCAGTGCTCTCTCTTAAGTTGTGTCTGTTTCTTGCTTTCCCGATAGGGTTATGAATACAGCCGGAGTGGAAACCCCAGCCGGAATTGCCTGGAGAAGGCTGTGGCAGCACTAGATGGAGCTAAATACTGTACGTAATTAATAGTTTCATCAAGCAAGATGGCAGCATGTGTGTTGCCTGATGGTCTACAGGAAGCATAACTTGGGGAGCAAGGACACCAAGCTGTCAGCAGCAGTCACATCACAGCAAGGCTTTCACAGCCTGTACCTGCTGGTTATGGGCAAGAGTGAAAAGAGTTCAACACATCATTCAGGAAAGTCTAGCTCAATCCCTGGGCTTCTGTAGATCTTCCTTTCACTGCATTTGATGTCTAAGCTAAATGGAATCTGTCGTGCAGCAGCACTGAGTGCAGTGGGGAGCAGGAGACAGGCAGCAGCGCTTCCTGGACTATTGCTCGTTCTGGGTTCCACTCTGTGTAAAATCAGGCTGCTGCTTTTACTCAGTCCACTGAATGATTGAGATAGTGTGAGAGTGACAGAACAGGTTCCTTTTAAAAGCAAAGTGAGGAAAGTTAAGGCAAGTTTGACAAGGTTTTATCACATTAAAACACAGTGTCTGCCACTTACTGTTTTCTGTTTTAGGTTTAGCTTATGCTTCTGGCTTAGCTGCTACTTTGAATATTACTCACCTCTTAAAGGCAGGGGACACGATTATCTGCATGGATGATGTCTATGGAGGTATGTAAAACACAGGGGTGCTTTTGATGTTCATTGCACAAGTGATTAAATGTACCTATTTGTGACTGTCATGAACTGAATTTCCCACACAGGACCTTACTTCCCTTTAAAGCCTTTTTCACTTCCTGAGAACACAGAACACCCCTGTCTGATTTTGGTGTTAGGAATTTAAACACTGAAAGGTTCTGTGGCACAACATGCAGGTTTAAAACAATAAAGCTAATGAATAATAAGTAGAAAATAGCAATGTCTTGGCCTTGCACAGATTTGTTTGCAAAGCAGGACCCTCCACAGTCCAACACAGCAAAGTTTCCCAACTCCTGGTATTTTACTATCCCTTTCCCAGGTCTGACACTTTATCAACCAGCATTTTGTCTGGACTGTTTCAAGCAACTATTCTGTCATCTTTCCTGAAAGCACAACTTGCATCTGCTATGCACATGTCTTCTGAATGCTTCAGCGGTGCTGCAGCTCACTATTAGGTTTTGATCTTGTATAGTTTTTTTTTATCCATTCTTCCAAGAAACTCCCCAGGAACAGAGTTCATCCACTTCTGCCAAAGTCCTTCAAAAGACTGATGCCACCTAGAAGTCCCTAGTAGGAAAGTCAGCTCGGATGGGCTATGACAATCAGTGTCCTCAGTGCCCTACTCCTGTGTTTCACTGGTCAGAAAAGCTTCTCTCCCTCTGTCTGCTCCAAGTCCTTGGCACAAGGAGATCAAACCTGCTTTGTTTCCAAAGGAAGGTTAGAGAGGCCAGCAACAGGTTGTGCTTTCCCATGCAGTAGCTGGAAAACCTTTTAGCAAGAGTAATCACCTTTCCCAGTGCTGAGTGATTACTATTTGCTAATCAGTTCCTGTGCTTGTGCACATCAAATACAAATACACACATTTGCTTTAATGTCTTAGTTCGTGTCAGATAGGTCATCTCCAAGTACATCTGGAGCCAAGCTGAGTGAAGCAGGAATCCCCAGTGACAAGCTGCTTCTTTAATACACGGCCCTCCCACCACAGAACTCAGCAAATCAAAGTGATTTGGCCAAAGTGTATTATCAGCTCCTCCCTTCAGAAAGGCCCATGGGTGTATTTTTCAAGCAAAACCAGTTCATCTGTTCATTAAAGCCTCAGCCTGTGGTGGTTTCAGCACAGATGAATTTCGTGGTTTCTTCCCTGAGGTTTTTTTTCCCCATACTTTTGTTGTAAAGAGATCAGCTTCCCCCCCAGCCAGCTTTATTCAGCAGATCTCACACCCCATACATGTTACATCTGCAGATCTGCCACTGGACACTGTGGCCAATATGTGTTCATCCCCTTCGTTCCTGTTTTGGCTGTTAGGGGCTCCTTGTCCCCTGACATCCCTGCTTGCTTTTCTCCTAGCTTGTGCTCTTCTGGCTGTTCCTAGTCATCTTTCCTGCTCATGTTCTTAGAACCACAGAATCACAGACTGATTTGGGTTGAAGGGGCCTTAAAGCTCATCCAGCTCCAGCCCCTGACATGGGCAGGGACCCCTTCCACTGGAGCAGCTTGCTCCAAGCCCCTGTGTCCAACCTGGCCTTGAACACTGCCAGGGATGGGGCAGCCACAGCTTCTCTGGGCACCCTCACAGGGAAGAGCTTCTGCCTAACAGCTCAGCTCAGTCTCCCCTCGGGCAGGTTCAAGCCATTCCCTTTGGCCTGTCCCTACAGGCCCTTGTCCCAAGCCCCCCTCCAGCTTTCCTGCAGCCCCTTTAGGCACTGGAGCTGCTCTCAGGTCTCCCCTTCAGGAGCCTTCTCTTCTCCACGCCAAACCAGCCCAGCTCTCTTTTCAGCCTTGCAATAGCAACCTTCGAGTCACTGGGTACGAGCGCTGGTATGTGCCTCTGCTCCCTCAAGGGCACACTGGCTTTGTTAAGTTTTTACCATGTTTTTCTGTAAAAGGCCAGGTTGGACAGGAGAGCAGCGCTGCACTTGCTAACTCAAATGAGGCTGCAGTTTGCAAGGCTGATAGAAAAACAGTGAAAGAATTGAAAAACTCACAGGCAATGCTGACAAGTGCACTGCCTGGGATGTGTTTAAGGGTTGCTGAGTTTGGGAGGGTGAGGAGGAGCTGTCAGGTTTTGACACCTCTGAATTCTGAGCCGCTGATATAACTTCTTAAAAGAGCTACTTTCTGTGCAACCTTTGATTTCCATCTAAGGTTTTATTGTAGTGTGTTACTACTTAAAGTATGTAAAGCAACTTTCTGTTGTTTGTAGAGCTGACAGCCTATGTGCAAATTTCCTATACCTGGACATATTTCCTACAGCACAAGTGACAATATAATATACAGCTCATTGTAGAAATAGAAGTATTTCCTTTAAGAAATCATCATTCAGACATAGCATGCAGCACAGAGGATCATATCCTGCATGTGCTAGGACTTTATGGCTAAATGGCAAACTCATGTTCTGTGTGCTTGAGTGAATGTTAAACAGCCTTGGCAGAAAGACTGAATGAATTAATTTTTAATCCAGGCAGCAGATAGTCAGTGTGCTGCACTTCTAATGAGCAACTGGTTGCTTCTGGTTTCTTCTTTCAGTCTTTCCAATGAAGGGTTTCAAAGCCAGAAAGGAAGGAAATAATCACTCCTTTATGTTCCTTGCTACATGTTGCTTTAATGGAATGGTAAAAGAAATACAGTAGCTGGAGTTTTCCCCTTGAGAATGTGGGACAAGAAGAAGCAATGAAGCTTATGAAATAGAAAAGAGTTTGTGTGGTGGAAAGACGTAACTGAAAAGTGGGAAAGAGAATATGAAAGCTGGAACCACTAACTTGTGCATGGCAAAGGACTAGAGGAAATATTAGAAGCAGGCAAGCTAAAAGGGGTCCATTTAATTTTCTGATTAAACCATCCCCAAAGAGCTGCTAATTGAAAGTACTTCTTCAATCACTCTAATTCCATATTCCCAGTAATCCTTTTCCATGATCTATGGCAATCTTTAAACTTTTTTGGAATAAAAAATGCTAATGTGCCATTCATGGTGTACAGTATAAAATTGTACCCTCCTGACTTTCCATGGATGAATGCAGGAGTCTGGAGATCAGTGAAGTTTTTGGTTCGTGCCTCTGATTTTTTTGTTTGTGTTTTTTTTAGGCACAAACAGGTACTTCAGGAAAGTAGCCATGAAAATGGGTTTGAATGTAGTTTTTGTTGACTGTTCAAATATTAAATGCCTGGAAGCTGCAATTACACCAGAGACCAAGGTAGGGGAGAGCGAAATTGCTAAACTTACTTGCTTAATGTCATTAAACAATTCCATTATTGCTGTTGTTGTAATGGGTGTACATGTCAAGCAGAGTGGGCTACAGGGGTGGCTTTTGTGGGGACAGACTGGGGCAGAGCTGGCTCCAGCACATCTCCAGTCCACTTGGTGGTGGTGCCTCACTGACAACACTTAGAAGGATAAAAGCAGTATGGACAGAGAGGGGAGGAGGGAAAAGGTCAGAAACAGCAGAGGGAACAGCAAGGTCAGAGGAAAAGCGGGTGCTCCATGGCACTGGAACAGAGAAATAATCCTCTGCTCTAGTGGAAGATCACTCAGCTGGAAAAGGCTTACAAAGTTTTGGATGTAAAGACTTTCATGTGGCTATGCCAGGCCTTCTTCAGATGCAATGTGCTGAGGTTTTCCAAAGCTTTGATGTCATCCCCTTGTATCAGTTATTTTTATGGAAAATATTGCCTCTCCCAAGATCCATAGAATCACAGAATGGTTTGTGTTGGAAGGGAGCTTAAAGCCCATCCATTTCCAACCCCCTGCCATGGGCAGGGACACCTTCCACTAGAGCAGCTTGCTCCAAGCCCCTGTGTCCAACCTGGCCTTGAACACTGCCAGGGATGGGGCAGCCACAGCTTCTCTGGGCACCTTGTTTCTCTGCCGTAGGGATGCTGTCATATTGCCACTCTGCAAACCTGCAGGAAAAGCTGACACTCAACAAATTAAACCACTTGTGAACTTACACCTGTATCGTCACCAGCACTGTAAAACCTCTAAACTGACATTTTGTGTTGTTGAATTACTGCAGCTTGTTTGGATTGAAACACCCACAAACCCCACACTGAAGATCATTGACATTCAAGCGTGTGCAGATGCAGTACACAAGCATAAAGACGTTCTTCTGGCGGTAGACAACACTTTTATGTCTGCATATTTCCAGGTAAGCACTTTGTTTACAATTACCCCATTATTTCAGTGTATTAAAAGGTGCATTTTTTAAATGGAAACACCACCATGGGACTGTGGTTTTGATCTATGTCTTGTAAAATTGCCTGTTCTGTTTTTAAATACAACCCATGTACTGTGCTATTTACATTACTAAGGATGGTATGCGCAGTACTTTGTAGCTAGCCACATCCCAGTATGATACCAGCAAACCCAGTATAGCTCAGCAGTCCAATAAACACACTGAATCAGGTTAGCCATTCAAAAATCATGGTTTTTCAGTTCTCACTGATGGAAATTATAACAGGCCTATTAAGAAGTATCCTGTTTCCTAACTTTGGCCTTTTTATACCAATTCTTTTGTACATGCTGTTTATGATCTGTTCTGAACCACTTGATATTCTGAAAAGAGCAGTGGAAAAAAAAGTTAAACCAAGCAAACTTTGTTTTCTTTTGAGACATTCAATTTACGTTTTTCTTGAATATCTTGTTGAATGTGTGGCTTAAAAGTTTGTAATTTTGATCTCAAACAACTAGCATAACTTTTCTGCTTAGATAACTTGAATAAATGAAGTGAAGACTATTAAACTTTGAAGTCTGGTTCATCTTAATGTGGGCTAGAAATATTCATTTGCATTTCCAAGGAGACAAAGCTGATCCCCTGTGTTTTAAGTCTGAAGTAAAACCTTTTTATGAGTGCAAAAGGCAAGGTGTCTGTTTTTGTTAAGGGCACTTAGATCTTTATAAATTAAGAGAGCTTTACAGAAGGTGTTAATGCTTAGCTAAAGCAGCACTAGAGTTTGTCTTCTACATACCAAAGGCTTGATGATTTCCCCTTTGCAGCATATATTTCTTTGGCAAGACAAGTTTGAAAGAAGCAAAGTGAGCATCTGGATATATGAGCTAGTTAATGTGGCTTTTATTGGACTGTTGATAAGAGAAAGTCAGTAGTAATGATTAATTCTAAGTAATAGGTAATGCCTTTAAACCCCTCCATACTGCTGCTGATGCACTGTGCTGAGAAGATCCTAATTTGAGGGTGATTTGTGTAACACTGTTGAGTGGAAGAGGCACTGATATTTATGCTGCTGCTCTCCTGACTGCGCACCGCGAATGCACATCATCCACGTTCCTTGACTAGGTGCCCGTGTTTAAGCTGACAGCAGCAGCCTTTCATTCTAAATCTTTGTTACCTTTTAACATATTGATACTTTTCAGCCTTTGAAATGTGTTTATATTATGTGCAAAGTCCTTTGCTTAGTGACTGATTAAAAATATTGGTCACTACTTCTCACCCATCAACATCTGCCTTTGCTTCACCTTAGAAAGGCTTCTGGGAGGTCAGGGAAGAGAGACCTGGTAAAGAAAACCTCTTCAGGTTTCAGTTGCTCTTTCAGTGCTGTATCACTAATACTGGTGTCACCAGAACTGATATCTAGACAGCAGTGCAGATCTTTTGCTTTGCAGACTGCGTTGAGGCCTTTATTTCCCAAACACACCTTAGAGTAAATAGCACTACTTAGCCCTGCCTCAGCTAAGCAATAGAACTATTTTTTCACAAATATGAATGTACGTTGGATGTATTCAGTCTCCTCCCCCTGAAGCTGGTGGGAATTAGACCAGTGCTTTTAAATTACATCTTATTTTGGGTTCTTTTTATTGCGCTTTTCTTGAATTCAGAGTGCTTTCCTGTACTATTGTTTTTGTCACATATCCTATCTTCATTTTCAGGGTTTTCTGTTTAAGGTCTTAAGTTTTTGTGGTTTTTCATTTCTTCATGTATTGTTACTTTCTGCGTTGGATCACAGCCTTTTGGGTGGTTTGAAATGAGCCACAGTACACATGAGCTTTAATCATACCTATTGTTTTCATTTCATTTCAGCGTCCTTTATCTCTGGGGGCCGATATTTGTATGTATTCTGCCACCAAATACATGAATGGTAAGTGTGTCATTTTGGCACAGCTCAGGCTGGCTTTTCAAGAGCCATTCTGGCTGTGGGCAATTCATAGAATCAGACTGGTTTAGGTTGGCAAGGACCTTAAAGCTCCTCCAGTTCCAACCCCCTGCCACAGGCAGGGACGCCTTCCACTGGAGCAGCTTGCTCCAAGCCCCTGTGTCCAACCTGGCCTTGAGCACTGCCAGGGATGGGGCAGCCACAACTTCTCTGGGCACCCTGTGCCAGCGCCTCAGCACCCTCCTAGTTCACAAAAACCAGTGTGCCTTTTAGTAATTCTTACATGGATCGTTAGAGGAGATGAACCATCGAATAAACCATTAGTCTTCATAGCTCCTAAACTATCCCTGGGAGAAGGAATATTGAGCTGACTTCAGGCAATAGACCTAGAGGTGTTTATAGCCCTGTTGGTTTTAATTTGACTACAATAAAGCAAGTGGCTTCAGTAGAAGGTAGTGGCTAGAAATTACATTAAGGTTCAAAGGAGGTTTCATTCATCTGTGGTGGAGCCTGTCCGAAAGCACATTCACTGTGTCGTGTCCCAGGCAGCCCACATGGAGCTAACGCGACTGGATGTCCTTGGTGGTGTGGGTAGAAGAGGAAGTTTTCTGGCTGGTGTTCACCCTTGCTAAGACAGCTCAGTAGGACACACCTTACTGCTGTACCCTGGAATTCCCACTTTCTGGCAGTTGGATTGGGAAGTGTCTGGGGGCACAGGGCCGAGCACGCTGCTCACCAGAGCTTTAGAAGAAGCTGAAATCTGCCTTACAGTCCTTGTGCTGCACAGCAAGGAGAGGTGTAGCAATGACAAGGAGCCCAGTGTCTTGCAAAAAAGGGACTGTATTAGCAACAAGACAGAAAACATGGGTTTGTGACATAACGCTGGAGCTGATGGAGTGGCTGATTCTGTTCTTGTCTTCTCCTTGTGTTTTTAGGGCATAGTGATGTCGTAATGGGACTTGTTTCAGTAAACCGTGATGACCTCTATGAAAGGCTTAAATTCTTACAAAACTGTAAGTAGTCAAAGTAGGAAATACCTTGAAATCAATTGTGTTTGAATGTACTAGCTTGTAATGGAAAGCATGTTGCATGCACACAAGTATGAAACCTATCTAGAGATGTAGCTCAGGCATTTAAATGTTCAGAAGTGTAAATGGCCAGAGAGGAAGCGGTAACACAGATGTGGGAATCCTGAATTCTCTTCCCTCCTTTTCACTGGCCTTATACAAACCCAACAGCTTTTGGTGTGTCTCCCTGGCTTCTCTCTCAAATAAAGTTAACAACACTGGTCTGCACTTCCTACTGAGAGCACGGTGGGTTGTTCTCCATTTGCTCACCACGGACTGCTGAGTGGAATGAATTGTCTGGGGCAGGGGCTTGAATGGAGGCAGCACTCTTGGCCTCAGGACTGTAATTCCCTCTGTCCCTGCTTTCCTGAAAGCATCAGATGCTGAGCCCATGGGCAGCACCTGCAGTTACATGGGACACGACTCCTTACCAAGCCTCTCTTTAGGTTGCAGTTAAGACCATGGCAGAAAGCACCATCATTTCCTATATTATCTTGATGTTGCATATGAAGAGGCATTAAACATTTAAATTATGCCTTTATTTAATTCCACCTAACTCATATCAAGTATGTCTGGGTTTTTAAACTCATTCACACATCAGAGGGTATGCCTAATGCAGTTTTCTTATATAGGTTGATTTTAACAATTTTACTGCCTCTTAATTGTAATGAATACATTTCTGTATAGTATTCTGTCTGCCCTCTGTCTCCAACAGAGAGACTAAAGGTACATTGTGTCTAACGCATTTAATCCTTGAGTCCTCATCTTGTTCACCCAGCTCATTAATTGGCTGGGTTAGTGTGTGAGGAAGGCAGATTGCATCAGATCTCTTTCCACTGGTCTTGTTCGAACTTCAGGAATTTGGGAATCAGGACTTTGTGAAATTTTACTAAACCCTCCCCCGTTTGTTGCATGTTGTAATTTCTGTAGCTCTTGGAGCTGTTCCATCCCCCTTTGACTGTTACCTGTGCAACCGCGGCCTGAAGACGCTGCACATCCGGATGAAGCAACATTTCCACAACGCGTTGGCTGTTGCTCGGTTCCTTGAGTCAGATTCCCGGGTGGAGAAAGTCATTTTCCCAGGTATGCTGGCAAGACTTCAGAGTGGCTGACATCTGGAGTTGAGCACTGCAGTACTACGTGTAGCTTGTACACTCTTCGTGTTGGGTGACTCTGGGCTGTGTGTCCACCTCAGCAATGGCTGTTTCTGCGTTGCTGTGAGTGAGCTGCTCTACCCTTTGAAATGATGGCAATTAAATTAAAGCAACTTCTCTGGATTTCAGGCTTGCCTTCACACCCTCAGCATGAGCTGATCAAACGGCAGTGTACTGGCTGTCCTGGCATGATCACCTTTTACATTAAAGGGAGTCTCAAACATGCTGCTACCTTCCTCAAGAATTTAAAGGTAAATGATGGTAAATACATGATGCTTTAGAGGGACTGAGACTGTGCTACTGAGGGTGATAAAGGAAGTGGTTTTTCTTGGGGTGGGAAGAGTCTTTCTCTGGACTTGCAAAGCTCTTGAAGTCTTTTGGGTGTAGCCATCCCTAAATAATAGATTATTTGTAAAGGGAGGCTAATGAGAGGGAAGTAAATGATGCCTGGGCTCATTTGAAGTGTTTGTTTACACAGTAGGGTGTAGTATATCCAGGCCTACAAAGGGCCTGCATACCTGCCTTCTGCAGAAATACCTGTAGGATTTGAAAGCAGAGGAGCTGGGGCTGGTGTAATACTGTTGTAATATTTCAAAGCATCATCAGGGCAAAATCCCATTGAGAAATGACATGAATCATGAAACAAAGAAGGAGTCCCTCAGATTGGAGAAGACTTGCTTGTTTATTTTACCTAAACCATAGGCTTTTGCCTTTGTCTTTGCCATGTGTGTATTCTGCCTGTACTCTTTAATGTGTTGGCTAGTCTTGATCTCTAGTTAATTTGCTTCCTGCACTTGTGCTTTTGCTGGTTTGTTCTTGGGAAACAAATCAACATATAATAATCAAAAAGGGAAAATTAGAACTTCCTTCTGCTCCCTCTCTTACTTACTTGCCACTTAATGTTACCAGCTGAAAATGAACTTACTAAAGACATGGTTTTACCACAAAATACTGTTTTACACGAGAGAGAGCATTTAATCCTGGCACAGGAGATCTGCCAACTTGGACACAAAGTGTCAGGAAATACATTCCAGGAGAAGCAAGTTCTTATGAGTATACTCAGTTCAGCCCTTTGACTTGGATAGCCATCAGCTTGTCACTAGGTTGGTACAAAAGTAAAACCATTTCCTTAAACCATGGCGAGAAGAGAGTTATTTAGTTGATAGGTTTAGGGTTAGTTTGTTTAAAGGGGATAAAAGTGAATATGAGCAGCTGGAGCAGCAGAGGAACATTGAGGGCAGTTAAGTGCATTCACAGCAGGCACACTGTGAATCTATGTTTGATGCAGCTGGCTCTCCAGAGGGCCCTTTGTCACCCAGGAGTGCATGCCCGTAATTCAGAGATCACTGCTGAAAGAAGGGATGTAAGGATAGGGTATAATCACTTAAACCTCAGCTGCAATTCCTGAGATCTGAGTCTTTGTTCAGGCAGCCTGCTCTATCCTCTGAACAGAGTGAACACCGGTGGTGCCCAGGCAGAGCTGCTCACTCCTCTTGTGCCCTTTCCCTTCTGCCCTTCCTCCATGCTGCCCGTGTGTTGCATTGTAGGAGCTACTCCTGAGTTACATTTGATCAACATGGGCATATTTTAGTTTCAGCTTTGCACCAGTGTCTCTTCAGAGCCTTTTTAGGACAAGTCTGGTTTAAATCTTAGTATCTCTTACCTGCTAAATGTAAAATTTATACCCTATTACATGTAATACCTTTTTATAATATAAAAATTATCATAGAAAAACTTAGAAACCCCCCTAAACATTCCTTTTCCCTTAACCATCTCTTTACAAGCATTCAGAACCTTACACTTGTTATGTTAACTTGATTTTCCCATAGGTTTTTACACTGGCTGAGAGTCTGGGTGGCTATGAAAGCCTTGCAGAGCATCCGTAAGTCATCCTTCAGCTTAAAAGCCTAAAACCAGCTGCAGAATAACAAAACATTGTTATGGGAGTTCTAAAACTTTCTAGTCCACAAAGCCAAGATATTTGGCATATAATTGAGACCCAAGGATAGAATGTTGCATAGCACAAACCCTATTGAGGCTACTCCAGAATGAGCGTGGCTTTAGTCCATATGAGCATGATGTTGAAAGGATTTCCATGTTTCCTTGTCTTAACTGGGGACTGAGATGTGATTTGTTGCTGTGATGATAAGAAATCCAAGAAATCAGCATGTGTTTGAGTAAGTCGTGAGCAGATTTGGTTGCACTGTTGAGGAAGGAGCTCTGCTGTTCTGCCTGTTTACACAAGAGGGCATGGTCAGTATGTTGCATAGACTGTCTCCATGTCACGGGGAATTTAGTAACGCTTAGGTGACCCTATCTAGGTTAAAAGGCTAAAAAAATGGATTTTTATGGAATTAGATTATTTCACTTAAATCCAATCTGCTTTTCAAAAAGATACACAGAAAGTTATGGCTAAATTTATATGCTCAATATTTTCAGTTATTCATTTTAGAATAACAGCAAATCTTAAAAAACTCAAGCAGTTCCCTGCCTCTGGCAGGGGGTTGGAACTGAGTGATCCTTAAGGCCCCTTCCAACACAAACCATTTTGGATTCTATGAGTTGAAAGGTAATTGTGAATTGGTGAATGTCAGTGACTGAGCACATGGAGTAAATAGCTCCTTACCTATATCCTCCATGGCAGACAGAACAAACACACCACTGTAAGTGGGTACAGTTTGACAAATGACCCAAGAAACCAAAAGTTAAAAGAAAATCAAAACCTTGGGAGATTTTACTCTAGAGATTGTCCGTTGCAGCTGTTTCTCCATGTGCTTAAAGCAGAGCTTTTAGGTACCCTTTTCTAGAAAATAAGATAGAAATTAAATATATTTGGGAGGAAGAGGAATAGGACTTTCTCCTTTTTCAGGTGCAGATTAAGTATCCACTTGTTATTTGTCAGTAGTGGCTTGGAAATACTGTACTGGGAGATATAAGTCACTGACTTGTCTGCAGTTCATATAACTTACAGTAGTTGAGGACATGATCCCTTTGCATCTGTGGGTTAATCAGCAGGTGGGACCCAAAAGGTGTAAAACCTTCATGGATTTTCAGGGAATGCTGCCAGGAAACCAATTGGTTTTGTCCTTAATGGTAAAACTAAAAACTTCTTAGAAAAAAGGCTATTTTTTTCCTCCAGGGCCATCATGACTCACTCTTCAGTGCCTAAAGAAGATAGAGAAACTCTTGGAATCAGCGATACGTTAGTTCGCCTGTCGATTGGTTTGGAAGATGAAGAAGACTTACTGAAAGATCTAGATCAGGCCCTGACAGCTGCAGTAAGTGGGTTGTTACCTTAGTGCCATCACTCTCAAAGCCATTTCCCCTCTGGTCCTCTGCCTTTCTCACTAAACTATCTGCTGGTAGTTCTTGCTTCACTTGATTTAATCATAAGGGTACCTTGCAGAGTGTGTGTAAAGCTTCTGTTGTTAGGTTTCTCTGTGCACCAAGGTTTACAGTCCTTGTCAGCCACCATCTGAGTTGACATAGATTCAGACAGGATGTCCCTGACCCAGTGATGCAGGTATCCACTAACGTCAGGCTGACGGGAGACTCGTGTAGGCATGGAAATGCCTAGTGTGTGCTTCAGATGTTTCATGTCATAGTTTTAGAGGGTTGGAATATATTAAGGAGCTTCAAGCGAAGAGCTTCTGTCAGACAGTAAGTCCAATACTGGAGTAACCTATTTCATTTATAAGCACTACTTCTGCTCCTCTACCCAACCTTCTGGATTTGAGACAGTAGATTAAAATTGTTTTTTCATGGTAGTGAATGGGATGCCACATAGGGACTTCATTTCTCAAGGCAGCTCACCTAGAATACATGAGGTGTAGACGTGTTTGTGTATGAGTATACACACATAGGATCATAGAATCCTAGTTTGATGTACTTTTTGTCCCTGTTTTTCACTCTCTGTTTGGTGATAGGGAAAATAAACCATAGTAAGGGCAAGTATGTCTATATGCCAGTATAGAGCATGAAGATAATCCAATGCTAAAATGTACCTTATTTATGAAAAGGAAAACAAAACCAGCACAGTTGATACAGGTGCTTAGCATAATTTTCTCTCATTTTTCCTTCTTATTGCAGTTTGCAGAGTGTAAAGCTTGAAGTCTAAGGCCAGAACTTGGAATTGAATGTGGAAATACCTAAGAAAGATGACATGGAAAGCCAAATTGTTAACGATTTACCTTGATTTGTTTCTGAGAATTTGAATCTGTTCAATGGAATCCCTGGATCCCTGGGGAACCTTGTGCTGTAGGTTTATTCTGCTGCTGCCAGGCTGTGCATGGACCGTGCACTGTGACACACAGCCTGGGTTCTCCTGGGGTCCCTTCCTGTTCTATTGTAATCCCTTGGGTTTGGAATTCGTAGAGTCAATAAACTGTGTCTGAGAGCAGCCAGATGCACACTCAGGAATATTATCCTGGCTCTCTCAGTGAGGGTAGTGTTTCTGTTTGTCACGCTGGTGCTGCAGGGCTGTTCTGTCCAAGGGCTGGTTCTTGATGTGACTGCTCCTCAAACTGCACAAGACGTTTTCTCATCTCTTCTAACCCACCAGCCCAACTTGAGAAGTGCTGGGTTAGATATTTGTTGTTTAATTAGGATGGAAATGTGGTTAAATGTTTTTTCTCCTGTTGATATCTTACGGAGCATTGAAAATGAAGCAAGATCCAATACGTGGTAAACAATGGGAACTTTTTAAAGAGGATTCTTTCACTTAAAAAGTACAAAATCATCTGGTGTCAGTTATGGTAATCATTTGATTTATATTTGGAATTGGAATATTAATTAAAATATGCTTTGAATCTCCCTGATGTATTGATTTGATCTTTTCCTATACTAGCATTCCAAATCAGCTGATAAAATGACACTGGATTTGTGTAAATTTTCCAATGGGAGGTTGATGTCACTGATGTTTTTAATTTTGTCAAAAAAAAAAAAGATGTAAATTCTGATGTGTGACAACTTATCCTGCAAAATGCAGTATTCAGGCCAGGAATATCCAGCTGTCTCAGGGTGCTGCTGGCTTGGGGTAGATGGTGGGTGGCTGCAAGGTTTCATCTCTGAGCAGAGCTTGCCCACAGTTTATGAAATACCTGTGCTGAAGAACCATAAAGGAGGTGCAAGTACTACAGGCATTTCTCACAAACTACTGCAGGTATAGCTTACAAAGTACTACTGGCATTTCTCACAAGGTGCTGCCTGTTACAAGTCTGATTGCACAGATCTGTCTTGGTAAAAGGATTCAGCTTTCCCAAACTAAATAAAAATGGGATTTCCAGATGTGTCTTTTCGTTCTTTCTCGGATGAAGAAAGCACAGTGTCTGAGTGCAAGCAGAGCATTAAATATGTAAAAACTTCTATTTGTTGTAATTAAAATGCAGACTGTGCTTTCCATCCTGGGTCAATACAGCATTTCAGTGTGAAAGTACAGAGTAAAAAGACAATCCTATCAGCCAGCCTCAGCACTGTGCCTTCCAAGCAGTGAACAACTGGGTATATTCACCTGCAAACAGAATAGAGTCACAGAATCCCAGCCTGGTTTGTATTGGGAGGGACCTTAAAGCTCACCCAGCTCCAGCCCCTGCCACGGGCAGGGACCCCTTCCACTGGAGCAGCTTGCTCCAAGCCCCTGTGTCCAACCTGGCCTTGAGCACTGCCAGGGATGGGGCAGCCACAGCTTCTCTGGGCACCCTGTGCCAGCGCCTCAGCACCCTCACAGGGAAGAGCTTCTGCCTAAGAGCTCAGCTCAGTCTCCCCTCGGGCAGGTTCAAGCCATTCCCCTTGGCCTGTCCCTGCAGGCCCTTGTCCCAAGCCCCTCTCCATGTTCTTGTCAGCATGTTTAGGTAATGGAAGACTGTTACAAGTTCTAATAGTCTTAATTATCTAGAATGATGAACTCCTGGAAAAAGTGAGCTGAAGTTATGCACTCCCAGCGAACAGCCCTCAAGAAATGGGGACAAGAATGTACTTTTTAGCAAAATGAGTCAGGCACAGTGACTCCTTTTTCACCAGGACTCTGCAACACCTCACTGCATGGGAGTACATTATAAAAGCAAACTGAATAAGATGCTATAGGGGATGTAGGTGGGTGGGTAGTATGGAAATGAGGAGCTCTTCTTACTTTCAGAAAGCCCAAAACTGGTAGTGAAAAGCCTTAAAGGCATTGGGGGTTTATTGTGTGATCTAGTACCTCTTCCCTGTAGTAAAAGCTATCTCTTCCCTGTTCTCTTTGAAATTATCATGCTTGTGGTTACAACATTTTTTGACTCAATATCTGATTTAGTTTCTGTATTCCCAGTCCTGCTGGTTTCTGTCATGTCTTCATTAACAAAGAGTTACTAAAGGAAAAAGGGCAGTTTTAGGAAGGATAAACTGCAGAGGAAGATGTGCCTGCGCCTGCAAGGACTTGATGGGGAGCTGTGAACATCCCATGTCTGTAGATGCGCTGAGGCCGCAATGGTGGGCTGGATCCCCCTGCTCCACAGAGCGAGCAGTAGAAGGTGAGCAGCTCTCATCTGTCCCCTCCCCAGGAGACTGGGAACCAGGAGTAACTTTTCCATTATTATTTACTCCTGTGAATACCCTTGATCCGTGTTTGCAAATCAGATCCCAAATGCCCAAATAGGATTTCACTGAAATGCCGGATACAGAACTGCTAAGTAATGCCTGAGCTTGGTTCATGGCTGGGTGGAAAAGGAGAGCTGAGCCCTGGGTGACTGAACTGCACCTTGAGGATGGATGAAGTGAGTCCTGAGGGAGGACCAGAGGAGCTGTGGCTGCCCCATCCCTGGCAGTGCTCAAGGCCAGGTTGGACACAGGGGCTTGGAGCAAGCTGCTCCAGTGGAAGGGGTCCCTGCCCATGGCAGGGGTTGGATCTGGGTGAGCTTTAAGGTCCTTTCCAACCCAAACCAGGCTGGGATTCCATGACCATTTGTGAGGATGGTCCTTGACAGAGCTGCAGTTTGAGGGGAGCCCTGGTTTTGTGCTGGGTCTGCTGGTCCTCTCCAGGTCAGGACACTGCAGCTTGCGGTGGGGTTGTGGCACTGTGTGTAATGTGTTGGTGTCTGGTTTAGTTTTTCTTCCTTCAAAATGTGGGTTACTGTTTGCAGCAGGTCAAAAAGTAAAAGCCATCCATAGGAGGTCCCACAGATACACACATTTTCAAGTGTGCAGCCACGATGCAGTGCAGTGAGCCCAGGTCCTGGTGTGGGAACGGCCGGTCTTTTGCTGCTTGCAAAGGGGCACAAGTGTCTGGTTTCTATCAAAACAATATCCACTATCACATGAACACCTTGTGTGTTTCTGTGCTCTCCAGCTGCTGCCCTCTGCAGGTGCAGATTTCTTTTGTGCCATTTATATGGGGAAAGGACAGATGAAACTGCCGGAGCTCAATTCGCAATGAACTGCTCAGTGATTTACTTAACACACTCAATAGAGGTCTGAAGCTGGCTCTGAGGTTGTCCTACCCAAGACTTGGGGCTTGGCCTCACATTGGACATGCCAGAAACTCATCACTTTGTGGGGAGGGATTGCAGTGAATGGCAGGAGAATGCAACATCTGATTATACATCTGAGCAGAAGGTAACCCTCTGGGATCTTCTCTAAACATCCATTCTTTCTATGACTTTCCTGGAGTCATCCCAGATGCCCCTTCCAGATCTATCACGTATTTCACATCTTGCATTCTTTCTGGAGTTAAAAGGGCACGTTTCATCCTTTGATTAGATTTTGCAGCCGTGGATTCGGATTGCATTACACTTCAAGGGGAATTTCTCTTTTCATGTTGAGGCCCAGATCACACTTGCATTGACTCAAGATTACATCTTGTTCCCTGGGAGATAATTGTCTCACACTAAGCCTGGGAGTGAGACTGATTAAACCCTGTCTGTTGTGAGGGACCACAGCCTGAGGTGGCTCAGCAGCGCTCAGGGGACAGGGATGTGATGTGACACGGACCCAGCACAGAGCTCTGCTCCTTGCCCTGTGAATGTGCCTTGCTGTGAACCTGCACGGTGAGGGATGCTGAAGGCAAAATGGTCTTTGTCCTTACACCAGCAGGAACCTGCTGGGAAGAGTGGGTGCCTTGGGAATCAATGGGAGCAGAGCTGGCTTTTGATGCTGAAAGCTCTGCCAGTGCCTGCCCTGCCTCTTCTGCAGTACAGCAGCTGGGCAGGTCAGAATCCCAGACTGGTTTAGGTTGAAGGGACCTTAAAGCTCCTCCAGCTCCAACCCCTGCCACGGGCAGGGACCCCTTCCACTGGAGCATCTTGCTCCAAGCCCCTGTGTCCAACCTGGCCTTGAGCACTGCCAGGGATGGGGTAGCCACAGCTCCTGTGGGCACAGCTTCACCCAAGCACCACTGTCATGGGGGTGGTGCGCTTTGCACTGAAGGCAGATGTGGCCATGAGCCCCCTCTCTGCAGCCAGAAGGGGTATTTGGGGAAGGGAACGTGTGGGTATCTCCATACAGTATCACCCATGAGGATGCCTGGAGCAGCCAGGCCGCGCTGCGGGATGTGCTGAGCACTGGGGCACCAGGTGAGTGGTGCCATCCTCCATGATGGGACCTTTTTTCTTGGGATCTTTGCTCCCCATCCCTGCAGCGCTGAGCAGAGGAGATGCAGCGCCTGGCTGCTGGCTCCCAGCATTGCAAATGGCAGCGGGTGCAGGAGTCAGCACCTCCTGCTCTCTCCCAGCCTCGGATTCCCCTGACTGGAGCTTGCTTTGGCATCCGTCAGCTGCAGTCGCAGTTACAGCCCTATGATGAAGGGCTTTTCTGTTTCCCGGCCATAGCACAGCCAAGAGCGGGACCACATTAGTCAGAAGGGTTCTTAGAAACTCCCAGCTTTTACTTACAGGAAAGTTGCTGTAATTGAAATGTGCTATTTGTCATAATTGCATAAACTTGTGCATGTAGGGGCTGTCAGGCAGGGCTGTGCATACTTTCCATCCCAGTTGCCCACTGTACAGAGCTGCAGACTGGCCCTTCCTGTCACCCCTGACCATGAACACAGAAATATGGAGGTGCTTCATCTTACCCACTGCTGTAGGTCCGTGCTGCAGAATGAACTGGGAGTGGCAGCTCAGCATCCTGCATATTTTGGGATTTAGTAGACTCAAAGGCATTGATCCAGGAAAGCAGATGCACTATCGTATTGATACAGACTCCTACCCATCCCCAGCACGTGTTTCTGAAGCACTGAAATGAGTTTGAGCCTGACAAAGTGCTTCATCATTTATCTGCTGTTGTGTGCAGGAGCTGACAGACAAATGCAATTTGTGTTCCTCCCTTCTATCATCTTCCATTAGGAAAATACTGATTCTCCCATGTCTTGCTAAGAAGCCCAGTGGTGTAGGATGGAGACAGAGCCCTGCTGCACCCTGTGCCAGCGCCTCAGCACCCTCACAGGGAAGAGCTTCTGCCTAAGAGCTCAGCTCAGTCTCCCCTCGGGCAGGTTCAAGCCATTCCCCTTGGCCTGTCCCTACAGGCCCTTGTCCCAAGCCCCTCTCCAGCTTTCCTGCAGCCCCTTTAGGCACTGGAGCTGCTCTCAGGTCTCCCCTTCAGGAGCCTTCTCTTCTCCAGGCTGCCCCAGCCCAGCTCTCTCAGCCTGGCTCCAGAGCAGAGCTGCTCCAGCCCTCGCAGCATCTCCATGGCCCCCTCTGGCCTCTCTCCAACAGCTCCACATCCCTCTTGCATTATGTTCTCACCCAAGAGTGCTGCTTCCTCCAAGCGAGCGTGTTTAATGGAAACACCGACTTTCCATTCTGGTTCAGACTGGGACTGCCGAGGCATTGCCAGGGGCAGAA